CTGTCCCCCCGCATGATTTGCTGGGGGGGATGCGTCCCCCCCAGCCTCCCCGGTTCCTACGCCCATGATTGGTGCATATGACCTGACTTTGGGTTCTTCAAAGGACAACATAATTTAAGAAAATATGGAGTGGGCAATAAACTGCAAGGCCAAACCCCTCTGATCCACCCAGGGGTGTTATATACTGAGGATGTTGGACTATCCAGAGAGGGTTTTTTTTGGGGGGGGGGTTGTTTTTTTTCAACAACTACTTGGAGACGTTTAACATCTGAATCTCCCACAAGAATTATATGTAAGGAATTTCTTAAGAAAAATCTAAAAAAAAATAAAAAATGAAAGTGTAGGTACACTAAAAATCAGTAACAAAAGTAGGCGGAAAAACACCCAGAATACGTATAGGTAAATATATGAATTAAACAATAACCTGATATAGGGTATGATCCATATTGTAAATTCTGTGTAAAAATCGAAATGCTAACATAGCGTGATACAGTAAAAAAGAAAAATTATATAAATATAGGTGAATATAGATACACTCACAAACGCACGTGAAATAAGGCTTTTCACCCTCTCTGGGGTAATATGAAGTATGATGAACGAACTGGAGAATCACCTCATCGGATATATGCAGATAAAGGAAATCAGAGATAGTGAAGTTTGTTATAAAAATACAAAATCACATTTATTGGTCACACTTACATATGTGTAAATCATAAAAAGCGTATCTCCTTATAACATGGAACTCCATCCAGTGTGGTCAGCGGTCCAGAATAGGATCCAACAGGAGTAGTTATAGGAAAACAGCCCAAAAACAAATGAATAAAAAAATAATAAACAATTAAATTAAAACAATAATATATAGTATAAGTCCATATATAAAGAATCCAATGTGTTTCGTCCTGTAGGGGTGTAGTAGTTCCATGTTATAAGGGTGTAGTAGTTCCATGTTATAAGGAGATACGCTTTTTATGATTTACACATATGTAAGTGTGACCAATAAATGTGATTTTGTATTTTTATAACAAACTTCACTATCTCTGATTTCCTTTATCTGCATATATCCGATGAGGTGATTCTCCAGTTCGTTCATCATACTTCATATTACCCCAGAGAGGGTGAAAAGCCTTATTTCACGTGCGTTTGTGAGTGTATCTTTATTCACCTATATTTATATAATTTTTCTTTTTTACTGTATCACGCTATGTTAGCATTTCGATTTTTACACAGAATTTACAATATGGATCATACCCTATATCAGGTTATTGTTTAATTCATATATTTACCTATACGTATTCTGGGTGTTTTTTCGCCTACTTTTGTTACTTTATATTGTCTCTTGGGTGTCTGTGAGGTACACCTGGGAATTCTTCCAGTTATACGTCCCCATTTCACTTTTGTAGTGTATATACTATTTTTTTGCTTATATTTACTTAACACTAAAAATCAGGATCGGGGTGTTAGTTAATGAAGACCAGGGAAAGGCAGACATTTTAAATAACTATTTATAGGCTATGGATATGCAAATAAGTGCTGCTGAAAAATTGTGATTGGATGACTCAAGACAAGGTGCTGCAGCAACTAAAGGAAACTTAATATAAACAAAGCTCCAGGGCCTGATGGCATTCACCCACGAAAACTTATGGAACTACGTGTTGATATAACTGAATCTGTTTTTAATCTTTCAAGATTCTTTTCTTTCAGGTAAAGTAAAATATCAGAAATAGATAAAATAATAATACTCAGTGAGCACTATTAGTTGGCTCTTTTTACTCCTTTCCCGAGTATTGGACATACCTGTGACGAAAGACATCTACTATATATCCCACAAGCGGGGATTATACCGCTGTACGCGTTTCACACTAGGGCTAGTTATAAGCTCCTACAAATGTGAGTGTATTACCATCCTCTTCCATATAGCTTATAAATTGGACTATACATATTGCACTATTGGTTCCCTCTATTTTCTGTCTTTCATAAAAGTGGACATACCTGGACAAAAACACTGAGGATATTATTCACAACTAAGCACACTACCCACTACTGGATCTGAGTGAGATCCTTCTTTTTGGACTTTCCTTATAATATTTATTGCTAACTTGGACTTTTTTTTATCTATGATTTCTGTTTTATATTTCTATCTCCCAATACTAGATTTGGCGCAGCCCTTATCTTCTTTCTTTTCATGTGGAATTCTCTGCCTGAAGATTTATCACCGTTTTTACAAATGAGTAAACAGCAGCTCAATGCATGCTTGCAAAAATATAATATTCAAAGAAATAATTTTTCAGTAGTAGGGTAAAAGCTTCTTGATCCAAGGATAAATCTGGCTGCCATTCTAAGGTCGAGAAGGAGTTTATTTTCCTAGTTTGTTGCAAAATTGAAATTGCTTCAAACTGTTCTTGTTTTGCCTTCTTTTGGATCAGCAGCAAAAAAAAAACGATTTGAGGAAGGCTGAACTTGATGCACACGTCTCTTTTTAGCCTATGTAACTATGTCATTTCATCCAAAATTATTGTTGTATCACATCCTATCCTAAGATCAAAGTTAAAAACACACTACTGTTTAACCCAGGGATGCCCAAAAAGTAGATCTCCAAATGTTAAAGAACTACACCCCCCATGATGCTTAGCATGCCTTTTAGACTGCTTTAGAATGACAAAGCATCAGGGAAGGAGTAGTTTTATAGCGGTATAGCGAGTAGGGGCATAATTTACTAATACTAAGTAATCTTTACTTAGTATTAGTAAATTTGGCTGAAAGACCAATTTAGGTCTTTCAGCCTTTTAGTAGATAGCTCCCTAATACCGTGGGTATAACTTACATTTTATATGAATGTGTGTTACTTGATTGTTGTAAGTGTTGCAAATGCTTACAGCTGAATCCTGGCTATGTTTGTATACTTTTTATTTAAAATTGTATACAGTGTAACATTCTTTATTCTTCCACTGAGTAAGTATATTAGTACTTAGGCAATACTGTGCTTCGGCACTTCAACACGTCGGCAACTTTGGAACGTTGGAACTTCGACACTTCGGAAATTCGGCAATTTCGGGACTTCAGGAATTCGGCACTTCGGCAATTCAGCTATTTGGACATTTGGAAGTACCCGAATGTCCGAATTGCCCGAAATTCGTTCCAATTCGGACCAAAACGAATTGCACATGTCTACTGGTGACTATAGTGTCCCTTTAAAACCTGATGTGATATTGAAAATATGCTTTAAATGTACATAGAAATTTGGAATAGTATACTTGTTTTTTCCAATTTTCTTTTTTATTATTCTATGTATTTGGGCTAATACTATAGCCATTGCTCTCTCCCAAGATCAGTGGGAGTTTGAGGGCAGAGCTTAATTTTATGTGTTTACATTTGCCTTGTATTAGACATCTATGTTACAATGCTGCCGCCCACTCCTTATATGTTCGAATAAAGGATTATGAATCCATAAGAAATTACCTCTCTGTCTCCTTATTTCATATTTGAGATTTTGCCTTTTTGATGAAGGTGCAAGTTGAATTATTAGTATAGGAGTCCCTAAGTGTTTTTTTTTATGTGGCTGGTGAGCTTACACTTTGAAGGTCATTGGAGTGGCACTAAAAATCTCTTATTATTTAAATGTACAGCACATGGTAGTGGTTATATAGTAAAGAGCATCAGGAGTTTTATGTCTGATTTAAGCCCAGCTGTGCCAAGATCAATCAGAATGTAACCTCCAAGAATTAATTACAGTCTGTTGCATGGCACTCCACCTTGGTATTGTTGAAGCAATACTATAGTGATAGGCATACAAATGTGTATTCCTAATGATATAGTGCCCTGTTAAATACTTAGTTCCCCAGCCTCTGGTTGCCTACCCTTTCTCGCTCGCAGTGCTGGCCTGCATGCCGCTATCCCACCACCTTAGCTGAGATAATCAAGAAAACACTGCACCAATCAGATGGTCTCTAAAAAATAACCAAGTTTTACTTGCCACTTTCACAGGAAAGGGACTCTAGTGACAGCAACAAGAGGCATTCAAACTTAGCAATGTTTTACAGTGCAGAGTTGAAATGAGGGGGGGGGGATACTTGATCTCTTCATCAAGTGGTCTGGATATCTATAGTGTCCATGTAACTTGCTTGCAAATCATTTGTTGCAGTTTACTGGGTACTTTAGATGTTAGGGCCTTTATTTTTCCTTGAAAAACACAGTCTATAACCTTTAGAGAACTTGCCCAGGCAGGGCTCGAGTCCTGTGGGAACGGCGTTCCTGCACTTTTTCCACAGCAGGAACTCTGTTACCGTTAGTGGTCCTGCAGGACCTGCCGTTTGAGTAAATACAGTATACTGCTAGGGAGCGCAACATCTCTTCTGTTTGAGCTCATAGCTGTTTATGTAACCAAACCCTGGTGGGTTAAAGAAAAGCCGATTGTTCTGTTGTCTCTAGTGTTTGCCACTTGGTAACGTTTGCGGGTCACGTATTGTCCTGCCCCTTTTTTTCTGGCAATGGCTCCAGCTGCTGCTGTGGTGCTGAGCTGAGCAGGATGGATTTCTCTGAGGTGTTCAAACTCTCCAGCCAGCTGTGCAGGTTCTCCACTGATGGTAAATACCTGGGGAATGTGGATCCAGCTTGTCCTGCCACCCTATAGGGGCTGAGGGTGATAGGAGTTGACATGCCCCCGTATCTTGATGTGCGTGCGGTGTTGCCTGTCCTCTATGGCAATTACCTGGGCTGTCAGAGCTCTTTGCTGAGCCCAGACCCGTTGTAGTGAGTCTTGTAGGCTCGGCATGTGTCCCTGTATGTCGGGTATGTGCTCTTCTGATGCTTTCACCCGGTCCTTAATGGCTGTTACCTCTGTTCTGATGTGAGAAAGTTCAGCTGCCAGCATTTTCTGGATCTTCGCCAGTAAGATTTTCAGATCGTGTTTGGTGGTAGGGGTCAAGTCTGTGGCGGAGTCCAGGGGTAGTGCTGGCGTTGCTGGAGGGACCGGAGAATCCTCCAGCGTGTGTTGTGCTGGCGGGCAGGTATGTGTGTTGTTCTGCGGGAGCGGTCTGTGGCTGTTTAGACCTTTGCAGCATGGCTCCAATGTCCCTGGTGTCTGCTGCTGTGATGGGTTTTTGGGAGTGTCGTCCCATAGCTGGTATGTAGGGTGGAGGGAGGGATGTCGTGGGTGATAGTTCCATGCCCGTTCCCCTCTCTGTGGCTCCTGCCAACGGTGCTTCCAGGCTTGGTGTATTCAGTGTGGGGTAGGCCCAGATTTTCCACCTCCACTTAGGCTGGTTAGGTGCCAGGAAGAATGGCATCGAGTGGTACTGGGTGATGCAGGATTTGTTGCTCGGTCCAGCTGTCACCTTGAGGTGGCCGGATGGCCTGTTATTTGGTCAATTTACAGTGGATTTCGAATTTTGTGTGGGAGCCGACCAGAATGGCGTCTGGTTCGTTTGGTGTGCAGGCTCCGCCTCCCTGGAGTATTTCTTTTAACCCCTTAGTGACCAGACTGTTTTTACATTTTCTTACTGTTAAGTACCAGGGCTCTTTTTACATTTCTGCGGTGTTTGTGTTTAGCTGTAATTTTCCTCTTACTCAATTAATGTACCCACACATATTATATACCGTTTTTCTCACCATTAAATGGTCTTTCTAAAGATACCATTATTTTCATCATATCATCTAAAATTTACTATAAAAAAATATAAAATATAATGAAAAAATGTAAAAAAACACACTTTTTCGAACTTTGACCCCCAAAATCTGTTGCGCATCTACAACCGCCAAAAAATACCCATGCTAAATAGTTTCTAAATTTTGTTCTGAGTGTAGAAATACCCAATGTTAACATGTTCTTAGCTTTTTTTGGAAAGTTTTTGGCTATAAGTACACTTAGCCCTTTGCTATTTCCAAACCCTTTTTTTTTTTTTTTCAAAATTAACGCAAGTTACATTGTAACACTGATATCTGTCAGGAATCCCTGAATAACCCTTCACATTTATATATTTTTTAAAAGAAGACAACCTAAGGTATTAAACTTGGGGTAGTTTGACTCTTTTCATGCAACCATTTTACCACCAATCTATGCCAAATAAAAAATAAAAAAAAATAATTGGTGATTTTTTTTTACATACACAGCAATTTAAGAATACATGTATTTTACTTTAAGGGTTACTGCCAAAGAACACCCCACTATGTGATCAGCAACATCTCCTGAGTACAGTGATACTGAGGCTAAAAGACCTTATTTGGAGGGTGCACGTTACAGTTTTCCAACTTGGAATTTTCACAGGTGGTCATCATGCACCCATGTCCTATTTGGGACATTTTTGAAGCTGGCCAATGTAATTTACTCCCATCAAACCATATATTTTTGAAAAGTAGACACCCTAGAGCCGTGATGGCGAACCTATGGCATACTTGCCACAGGTGGCACGCCTGGCACTCTCTGTGGGCACACGGCCATGAGTCGCCGGTCAGCATCAATGCAGAGTAGGCACCTGCCTGCCCAAAACGGCAGGCGCCTACTATGCTTCTGTGTCGGGAGGACAGGAGGAGGGATCTGAGAAGCAGCTCTCCTGTCCTCCCGCAAACAATCTGTGTGGAGCGTTGCTGCGTGTTACTATGGCAACGCTCCACACAGCATTCTGCACGCAGGAGAACAGGAGAGCTGCAGAACCTGTCCTACTTAGCTCCACCGGACCACCAGGGCTGGCTGTGTGTCCCCCCTCCTTCACCAAAGGTAAGAAGAAGGGAGGGGGGAATACAGATTTTATTAATATATTTGCAGCAGCACCCCCCACACACACACACAGCACCACCCCCATCCACACACCCCCACACACAGCACCCCTGCCCCTCCCACACACTGCAGCACCCCCCACACACACAGCAGCACCCCCCACACACACAGCATCCCCACTCGCACACACAGCACGCCTCGCACACACAGCACGCCTCACACACACTCTCAGACTCCTTAAAACAAGCAGACCTCCGTTGGATCTACCGATTGGATTTTTGATTCTTCTGTTGTGCGTATTTTTAGATAGTATTAGGGCATCTGCCGAGAATTTTTTAATATTGAGTTTTCTTTACTCTAATTTTTCACTTCACAGTTTTTTCTTTTAGTGATTGTGGCCACTGGCCATTGGATGTTTGGACTCCTTTGCATTTATGGACATGGCAATGGATTTACATTTACATACATCGCAAAATTGATTCTGGATATCTATATGAAGTATTCATATGCTTAAGATTTATTTGTGCTCATGCTCTTTATACTTCAGAGAGATGATACTATGTATTATTGTGATATGAATACATTCTTTGACATATATTTATGTTTATATGTTTAAACTGGTCTTCCTTTTATCCTTTTTTATGCTTTTTTCTTTTGTTTCCTTTGGGATTTAGATTTATTTCCTTTTTCAATTTTCCCTGTATTTTTTATTATTTGCTCATGGTACATTGATATTGGTCTGCCTGCTCTGCACCTATTCTCTGTTTACAGGCTCACTGCATTAAACAATGATACTGTCAGGCACCCTGACGGTTAAATATATCAGTTTCATTTTACTAGTGAGGAATAGGGAACTTGTTCAGCATTGTAGCGCATGCCTGGTTGGAACGCATTGTGCGTTCCATTGGCCGATTCCAATTCCCCTTAAGTTGCACATGCGCGATCTTTCGGTCCTGCCTGTCTTCCGGAGGATGTACACAGATGCGGGTGTGGGCTTTGTTAGACAGTGGAACACATGTGCGTTCCTCGTTCAGATATACTGCACATGGACAGGATATTGTTCTGAATGACTGCTGGATTAAGTTACAGATGTCTACTTTCGGTCCTTTTGGAGTTTTGAGACATGATGACCAGAATACAGGCTCTGTATTAATATATTTATTACACTTATTTAGGTGATCAGAAGTTTTTTTTTTATTTATATGATATCTTACTATTATATATTTGTTCATACTCCATATGATATTCTTTCAGTATATATTTTGGTATTTGCTTATCACAGAAAAAAACTTATTTTTGGTCTAAATATGTATACTTCATATATGTGACAATGTGATGAACAGTGTTTGTTTATTGGTTACCTTACCAACCATAGTCATGTGACTATGATTGTGGGCGCTCCAATCATTCATGGGTGGCCACCCATTTCACTCTGGTGTTTTTCATGTTTTAATTAAATGTTGGTATATAAAGGTTATTACGTTTCCTTCACCACATGCTCCCTTGATAAAGGCGGATAGCGTCGAAACGTTGGGGGCTATTTTGTGTTTGACGTCTTCACCCTCTTCTCATGTTTCTTGGTCTTTGGTATGTACTTTTTGGTTCACTATTTTATACAGGTATCATAACATTTCTCTGTTCTACCAGTGGTTATACCACGTATTGTTCATTACTTAGATCCGAATTTTGCTATTTTTGATCCTTTTTCTTTTTGTCTTAGTCATTGTTTACATATTGGATACATATGTTTAAACATATTGACACTTTATGATGTCTTTCTTGAAACCTGTTATATGTGTGTCTATACAATAAAGTTTTTTGCATTTTTATTGATTGTGCTCCTCCTTTTATTACTATATGATTATATTATTAGCTCTTTGGAAATTGAGCTTTTGGAGTGAGCACCCTTATACATATAAATTTTTGTAGTCCACCATTAATGACTACTGTTCGGGTGTGCCAATCTTTCTGTTGTTAATACATACTTGGTCTTACAATGTCATCCAAGAATTTGTGTTTTAATACCAGCATAAATTCACATAACTTGAATTACTGCTTTTTTAATACCAATCAAATCTTCTATTGTTTTATAATGATCACACTAGAAGCTAATATAGCCACAGCTTACACTGCTTATAGACATACTTATGTGAAGGTGAGGGGAATTATATAATTGCCAGGCTTTAACATTGGCTGGCAACATTTTCCTTTGCCAAACTGCTCTGAGAAGCAGCAGCCAGACAAATAATTATCCCTCCTGTTTTAGTCACATAACATAAAAAAGGTAGTTACTGTGCGACTATCAGCTGTGAAACTGTGGAATCTTTCTCGGAAAAGGGTGACTTTTTTATTTTTATTTTGGACATTAATCATTTTGGAAACGTGACAAAATCTATTGCTTTCACACTGCGTAAGACAAATTGTAAAGTATCATAAATTATTCAAATTTGTAATATACCTTTTACCAAGTAGCAGCTGGTAAAAAAAAAAGTATTATCTTTATCAATTAGGTCAAAACTCTATTAAAAAGTAAAATATGGGGCATGTGTATGAATCATTTCAGTAAGAACTAGTTTATGCCCAACCACAGTTACAGGCTGCAGTCATCCTTTGTTGCCAGAAGTAGAACACCAGCCTCCTCCAATATACTGAAACGTTCCCAGAGTGAGATAAGTGTTAAAAAAATATATTTAAAGAAAATCTGGGGTTATTTTTCTTCTTAAGTTGAGATTCAGATAACTAACTTGCCATTTTTAAAACAAATTTATATTGGTTCTATACTAGTCCATTTGTTCATATGGATGCAAGTTCTTGGAGAAAAGCTGCATACAGCTTTGTGCCTTCGATGTAGTTGAACCTAAAAAAAGATATTGAAATGAAAATCGGCACAAAGGCATGTTAAAAGTAGTCAACAGTTTAAGGTATTTTTAAAATGTAAAATAAAAGGGATTGGAGTTAGGATATGGACATCTGATGTAAACCTTTTAACTTCCTCCTCTTGAGGATTATGACGAGACCAATCTCGCCACATTGCATTGGAGAAGCCTGGTTGCTCGCCTGCTGCCTTTGGACTATGGCCCCCTGTTAAAAGACATCTTTTTTTACCTGCAGAAAAGCTTCATTCGTGCTTTTCTGCCTGGGGTTCGGTAGATTTGTTTGAATGTGTTATACCCCAGATAGGAATCCCATGGAGCCCATTCGTATGAAACTGACTGTAAAGACTTTGGCTCCATGGCGATTAAACTGTATTCGTGTGGTCTGAGCGCCATTCACTTAATAATGTGCGCTCAGACCTGAGCTATCTGGGGATATGTTAAATGTATAGTTTTAATGTAAGGTGTCTTACCTGATGTATTTTAAAGTGTTTTACTGTCTTTGTGTCCCCATGTGCTCAATGGAGTCTGCCTCTATCCCTGGATAATTGGATTACTTTCCCCATTGTCCAGGATAGAGGGCTCTGTAAAACCTGTTTGAGCCAGATAGCCATGCTGCCAGCCAGGGTACAAAAGATACTTTTTACTAACTTTTGAACCCCTGGTCGGATTCATGCCATTTTTTAATATGTTGTTCCCCTGAATGGATTGATTGTGAATATGTAATTTTATGTGAATGTGATGTATGGTTTTAGAGTTATGAAAGTTGGGTAGAAAGTATGTTTTAACTGTATGTGTAATTGAATTTCCTCTCAGGATAAGGGGAGGGAATATGTGAGATGTAAATGTGATGTGATTGGTTGTTTTATACCTCCATGTGGGCGGTCCTGTATTTGCAAGACTGTAATAAAAACCAGGCTGGGTGTGCCAGCACCTCAGACCACTGCTTGACCCTCAACACAGAGCCTTGTCTCGTTCTTGGGGGGATTCACTGTATGCTGTTAGAGACTGATTGCCAGGAGTGTAAGCTGATTGTCTGCTTTTCCTGTTCGTCTGCTAGCAGCTATTTGGGAGGTTCCAGTTCGGGATTTGGAGTGCTATTTTGTATCCAGTTTGGGAGTTTGGTGTTCTGCAGTAGCTGTGCCTGTATCTCTGGAAAGGGGGCCGATCGCCTAAACGGTTTTTACCCCTTGTGTGCAAAACGGTCCGTTACAAGGATTTTTGCAGTACATGTCAGACATTAAAGGTCATTCTCAACACCAGAACCATTACAGTTTAATTGGTAAAATGGGATTACCAACTATTTTAACATATGTTTTGTTTTTCTTATCTTTTTTTAAATAGTGAAAAATAGGATTGTAAAAGCTATGTATGATTCTTGGAGGGAGTCAAGGTCCATACTACCTAATGTTCTAATGTGCTCAACCAACACCCAGTCTTCAAATAATACCAGTGACTGACTAATTATCCATCTCTGTTCTAGTTTGGGTAGCTAAAAGACTCTAAAGGTCTGGATGAAGTGCCCCTGTTCTCTTAACCCGGATGTAAAAACATTGAAATTTCAGGGAGACATCAGTGTTTACTTGCAGGATGAAGACTCAAGGCACTTCTGGCTTCCTACTGAGTTTAACTCCAGTGAGTTCATAAATGCTCTTAGTGCTTTCCTATTTGGAATTTCTAATGCACACGCTTACTGCGCATGTGGTTCCATTTTGGAGCATTTTAGCAGTTTGTCTGTTCAAGTTACTCAATAAATGCATACAATTTGCTGAAGTAGACACCACAGAGTTTGTCATATCTTATACACTGATCAGCCACAACATTAAAAGGAACACTATTGGCACCCAGACCACTTCATCTTAATAAGTGGTCTGAGTGCAGTGTTCCTGGTCCCTTAAAGCAGCACAATCACCCCCGTCCCCTGAAAAATGTGTATTTCATAAAAAAATATAACTGAAATTCCAACCCAGTCAAGAGATATACTGTGAGGAAGAATGGACTGCTTTGTCTCTGTATATTTCATATTCCTGACACTTCTAGACATTGAGCAGAGCTACCGAAGTGATAATTTCAAGAGTGACGCCAGCAGGGAATTGGTTCTGTCTATGGAGGATCCTGCAGTCTTGCGGGATTCTCCATAAATTTCAATTATGTACTCTTGCGCATTCGCTAGCGTACAACAGTGATGTCGGCTCGTGGTGTTGAAGCAACAGGAACTGAAGAGGACCTGCCAGAGGAAGACAGCGGCACCCGCAAGGGACAGGTTCTGGTAAGTAGAATTTACCTTTCCCTGCTAAGCAACAAGAAGTTCTTCCTGCAATTTCACAGGGTTTGTGCTGGACATCCTCATGCTTTGCCGGAAGACATCCAGGGTCTTAAAAAATTCCCATGGAAAACATTGTTTTCCTATGGGGAAATTCTAATGTGCGCTCATTGCTCATTAAATTCCTCCATTGCGTTACGTTGCTAAAGGAGGAGATTAATCCAGCAGTGAAGGGTTTAAAGGGCTTTTAACCCTCACATGCGCACAGGGGCGACAGGACCTAAAGTTAGGGACAGGATCATCAAAACTGAATCGTTGATGTCTCTTAAACAATAGTTTGACAGCTTATTTTCTAAAAATATATTAAAGAGCACCTATGTTAATACTTTTCTAGAGAGCACTAAAAACTGTCTTATGCTTTAGTGACAGTAAAAACTTCAGAAGTAATTTTTACTTGTTTACATTACATGTGTGTAACATAGATATTGCATGCTTTAATTCTGCACAAAGGCATAAGTAGTGCAGAGTAATAACATACTTGCTTATCTTTTCATTCTGTCCATGGGCAGCGTCATCTGGCCCACCAATCCCGAGTAACATGACACTTTTGCCTAACACTTCCTCAAAGTTCTTTGCAATTGGAATAGTTCCTCCTGCTCGAATCATGTCTGCATCCGTATTGAACACTAGAGCACAGGAAAACACCATGGAATGTGTACATTAAATTATAATTTCTGCAAAATTGTAACCAATTTGCTGGTCTCCACTAGATTTCTCAGTGTGTGTTTTTCTTATTTCATAGATATATACATATATTGCACAATGAATACACTACTAAACAGCATATCAATATACAAATTAATAATTTATTATTCAATTATATTGCATAAATTGTACTGTTTTGTCATGGGGTGATGAACCCATTACTTATCCTTAAATACGCCCCATTGGAAATCAGCTGAATGGGATTTTCTTAAAAACTATTTTGAAATAAGTATATTCACAAATGCCTAATCATGCGGTAGAATCTATATGTAAACACTCTAATACTGTCCAGTATTTTTACGCTTTATGATGTATTAGAATATCTTTCTGTTCAATGGTGCAAAGTTCCTTCACTTTGGATAAATGTAACTCTTACCTCTTTTTACTGCTTTCCTGGCTGCCAAATACTGAGGTTCGTTCATATCAGCCAGCCATGGTTTTGCACCAATTACCATCGTTACATTAATTTTATTAGGACTTTTCCTTTCGGCAAATTTGCTTTGCAGGTAATCTGCAACCTACAAAAAGGGGAAATGTTTGCAACAATTAGTTTTGTTAATGGATCTGTATATCAAGGGGCTAAATGTCAATTATTTTCTACTATATTTCTACTGCCTAATTTGTTTCTATCTTAACATTTTTTTATTTTTTCAGAAAGGGTTATTCACTAAGGATGGGAGGGGCAGCACATTGTTAGAGCTGCCAGCTGGCAAATGCATATATTAATAAAATAATCTACAAAATGCTAGGTGTAGCGGAGCCCTAGTCCTAGCAGGGACTCTCCTCCGCTGGGTACTCCAAGACTGGCTCAGGAACAAATAAAATACTCCAATAGATCAGCCAGATATAGTACAGTATTCCAGGAATCTCCCACCGCATCCCCAACAACTGGACGATACTCAGCTCTGGGGGTATAACTGGTTTTAGTGGAGCCACACAAGGCCTTTTATGTGAATCCCCATGCAAAGGGTTTCCTGATATATATTCGCGGGGCATTCCCCACTGGACCTGAGAGTGGACTCAGACAAAATACACAACATAATTATATTAACGCTCAGGTCCAGGACTAGGGATGTGCATGATCCAAAAATTCGGTTCAGTTCGGAAATTCGGATAAGAAAAAAAATTTGGTTCGGCACTTCTGCAATTCGGGACTTCCACACTTTGGTTCGGCAATTCGGGACTTCGGACATTCGGAAGCATCCGAATTGCACGAAATTAGGACAGAAATGAATTGCACATGTCTATCAAGGACATATACAAGATTTCTCGAGGGCTGCACCATTCCTGTGGAACTCGCTTCCCTCCTCCGTTAGATGCTCACCCAGTCTCCACTCCTTCAAAAATCGTCAAAAACCTACTTCTTCATAAAAGCATATCAATTGAACTGCTAATAGCTCCTGACTGATTCCTCTTCTGCAACTGTCACTAGTCTAATACAATCCTTAACTTTCTGTGTCATTTTACCCCACTCCCTCTAGCATGTAAGCTCATTGAGCAGGGCCGTCAACCCCTCTGTTCCTGTGTGTCCAACTTGTCTGGTTACAACTACATGTCTATTTGTCCACCCATTGTAAGCGCTGTGGAATTTGATGGTGCTATATAAATAACATAATAATAATATAAAGCATAAAGTTAACAACAACAAGGTACCCCCTCAAGTCCTATATCCCCGGATAGCCTGGACCTGAGCGCTCAACATATGCAAAAAGCACTCAGATCCTACAAACGCAGCCGAAACGCCACCGGGGTATAGTTTAGACTGACCGCACAGGAGGCGCCTGCCCAAAAGAGTTCCATGAAATCAGGCTGTGTGGTCGGTCTCTTTCAGGAGTACAAAACAAGCTAAAACTAACGAATGAACTGTTCGTGCGTATGCTCATCCCATATATCTTGTTTCGGGAGTATGCTCCACCCACTTTATTTATACAGTCTTAGTCACACCTCCCCTGGCAGTGACTTACATAGTACATAATTCACTTATTTACACAGTAAATAATATACCTGTTTTTCCACCACCGATGGATTCATATTGGGGACTTGGCGTATAGAGAACTTTCCAATTACTTTTGCAGGAATTACAGTTTTTGTTCCCGTTCCAGAAAAAGCACCTTCAATTCCATGAATTGACAAAGAGGGATAGCGCCATCTATATAGTAGTAATTCTTCCTATAAGAAAAATGAAATCATAAAGTAGTGGTGGAACATGTATATGTGTGATTCAGCAACTGCTGACTATGTTCAGTTCATCCTTCTACCTTGATACATATCATTTGATCATCTCGACTGCAGAAGTCATGTTGCTACTAATGACCCTATCAGTGACATCTGTACACTGGTGACTCTCACAATGGGCTTGGTCCCTGCCGATCACCTGATTTCCTTTCTGTGACTCCCCATTTCACATAAATTAGCTTTACAACATGTCCCTCAATCACATATAGGTGAAGATATTTAACATATTGTAAAGGCATGGTTTGTAATTTATATAATCTAGAATTTTGTTTCTAACAAATGTCCATTTTTAATGAAGTGTGGGAAATATTTATATGATTTGTCTTTATAACATTTTTTTCAGTTACACATTTCAAATTAGAAAAAAAGCTGTGCTCTGATACTGCCGTGCGCTTCATGGTCAGACTATTCTCCACTCTCCATCTCGCTTTCCTCCCCTTGCATCGACTTCGGGCCTCAAATTAGCATCTAAATTAGTCACTATTCTCAGATGAGTGGATCTTGCAGGTGACGTAGGACATGCGGAGCCAATATTTTCAGAGGAACGCCTCGGAGTTGGTGCTATTACTTGTGCTCTGAGAAGCCCATAAGTGCGTATGTATAACCCTCTTCATCACCAAAAGCACTGCACTGAAGAAGGCCCGCACAGCACAGATTCAGTATCATAGTACCTAGACCATAACAACATACAGCATGAGGGCTTATCACCAGTGGTCGCATGGACTGCCTGGGAATCGGGGGCTGCTTGCCAAAACATTTACATGGGTTGAAGGTGGAGGACACTGATAGCCTAGATATACCCATTTCAAAGGAGTAGAGAATAGTTTGCCCTAGCAGTCAAGGTGGGTAATAGTCCTGGAACAGATGGCTTCCCAATACAATATTATAAACACTTTCCCTACATTTCATACTTATACTACGTAATAGCTTTTAATTCCATCAGGGATGGGAGTAGCATTTGTGCCCAGACTCTCTCTGCCAACATTACCATATTGCCTAAAGAGGGCAATGATGTGGAGCAGTGTGCCAATTACCTATTTTTCTTCTCAACTGCAACCTGAATTGCTTTATAAATATCAAGTAGGCTTAATTCCATGCAGAGAAGACTGGGACAACAGAATGAGAACTTTATTCCTCATATACCATGCTCGAGCCATGAGCGACCGCAGGAATTTTTCCAGGGGCATAATTGTAATGACATCCATGCTTGGCCCCTTTTTGACAGTGTCACGTAGGGGAGGAGCATAGTCATTATCACATAAAGCCAGGGTGAATACCTGTAGTGGAGCACTAGTTTCCCATAGACTTCTCCACTGGTATTCCAATAGTAATGTAGGAACAAGAAGTTAAGCCAGGATAAACAGCATTAGTAGTAAAGAAAATAATCCAGGAATATCCCATCACCTTTCCCAATAACTGGACGACACACAGTATCAGGAGCAGAACTGATCTTTTATTCCACATACCCTGCTTTTATGCATCTCTCCCATGCAAGCGAGGCACCCACAGAAAATTATACAGTACCCAATCATATACAAGTTACAACCCACACATCTCCTCCCCTCAGCGTGACAGATAATCCCATTATTCAGTACACACTTTTCCCCGTTTTCTGGTTGTACCCCAAATACACAAGATACACCTCTAAATCTTACATCACCTGGTAGCTCTGATCTGGGTGAGCAACATACTCAAAAATCACCCAGATTGGACCAAGGGTTCGGGAATTACATGGATGTATTCGTTTGACCGATCGCACACGAGGTAGTAGCCAAAATCAGTTCCATGCATTTTGGCCTTGCGGGCGGTCTCTGTTCGTGGAGGAAAAGGCACGAAAATACTGAATATGCAGGGCTGTGCTTGCATTTGTATGAATCCCCTTGTTCGTGGGATTTATTTTCCAGACACTCAACGACCAAACACCGCTGTGCGTTCGTATGGCAAGATGGCCGCTACCACGTGTTCAGGGGCAGAGCCAGCACAAGTCAAACACAGCCATTGCCAATCAGCATCTCCTCATAGAGATGAATTGAATCAATGCATCTCTATGAGGAAAGTTCAGTGTCTGCATGCAGAGGAAGGAGATACTGATATGTTGTGATGGTTGCTAGAGGAAGCACCTCTAGCAACCATCTGAGGAGTGGCCAGCGGAGTTATCACTAGGCTGCAATGTTAACGCTGCATTTCCTCTGAAAAGACAGTGTTTACAGCAAAAAGCCTGAAGAGAATGATTCTACTCACCAGAACAAATTCAATAAGCTGTAGTTGTCCTGGTGACTATAGTGTCCCTTTAATAAACAAATATTTACGGGGGGAAAAAATGCTATAACACTAGCCTTACATTACCATTCATAATGGGAATTAGAAAATATTCAAAGTGAATTTCAAATTCAAATATAGTTTTTGAGTATAAAAGCAGCAGACATGGATCAATTAAAGGACCACTCTAGGCACCCAGACCACTTCAGCTTAATGAAGTGGTCTGGGTGCCAGGTCCCTATAGGATTAACCCTTTTTTTTATAAATATAGCAGTTTCAGAGAAACTGCTATGTTTATAAATGGGTTAATCCAGCCTCTAAAGCCTCTAGTGGCTGTCTCATTGACAGCCGCTAGAGGCGTTTGCGTGCTTCTCACTGTGAAAATCACAGTGAGAAGACGCCAGCGTCCATAGGAAAGCATTATAAATGCTTTCCTATGAGACCGGCTGAATGCGCGCGCAGCTCCTGCCGCGCATGCGCATTCAGCCGAAGAGGAGGATTGGAGGCGGAGAGGAGGAGGAGAGCTCCCCGTCCGGCGCTGGAAAAAAGGTAAGTTTAACCCCTTTCCTCTCCCCAGAGCCCGGCGGGAGTGGGACCCTGAGGGTGGGGTCACGCTCAGGGCACTATAGTGCCAGGAAAACAAGTATGTTTTCCTGGCACTATAGTGGTCCTTTAAAGAACATGTGAATTATGAAAAGAGCAGCCACGATGATGGAGCATCAATAAAGACAATTTGTAATATAAAGATACATTTGAAAGGTCACAAAGGACCTATGACATAAAATTTGTTTTTCTGATAATTTGAGAAAAGTCACTACACTTCATTTAATAGATGCTGCCCCTGCATCTTTGCAGTTGAAAACAGTTCTGCTTCTGAGAAAAAGCAATGTTTTCTTTTTGTAATCTCTACATCTCAAACAGCCACTAGGGGCTTCAGATTAAAATAGATTTAATAATTCAATATTTTGTAAACTTTGTGTCAGCATGGAAAGTATGAGAACACTGAGTGCGTAATGTGCTGGAAATGTTTCTTATAGAAAAACATTGTAGTAACCCCTCATACATTGTTCTTAATGCTTCTCTATGATAACCATTTCATTGGACAATAGTTACCATGCTTGATGACATCAGCAATGGCAGTTTGGGCTGCTGCTGTTTTGGTACAGTCTCTTAATTGCTTTGGTTAATGTATTTTGACATCAGGGCTCTATGGGCATGGACCAGTTCCAAGGGGAATGATTGGGGAATAGCATAAGTTACAAAGTTACATAGTACTACAGTCTGAAAAACACACAAGCATTAACTTCAGCTTCAGCCTTTCACACATTTGTACTTGGTCTAGAAGCAGGGCTGGCAAAGGCCACCACTTAGGGCACACTGGCTAGGGGTGCAATTTTCAGGGTGACTGGTAGGAAAGAGCTCCTCCTTCTGTCAGCCTTTTCATGTAGTGTGGCGGAGCGGACAGCGGGAGAGGATCTTCTGTATTCTTTACCCAGTCTAACAGGAAGCTGCTCACTGAGAGTAACACAAAAGAACCTCAAAGAGAACCTGTGGGGATAGAGGGAAGAGACACACACAGGGGCTGAAGGGAAGATAGATACAATAGGGGCTGTGGTGGGAGACACACAAAATAACGAGGGCGAAGTGACTACAAAAGGGATTATGGGGGAGTAAGAGACACACAGAGGGGGCTTGGTAAGAGACATACAGTTGCAAGAAAAAGTATGTGAACCCTTTGGTCATAAAATGTGATCTGATCATCATCTAAGTCACAACAATAGACAATCACAGTCTGCTTAAACTAATAACACATAAAGAATGAAATGTTGCCATGTTTTTATTGAACACACCATGTAAACATTCACAGTGCAGGTGGAAAAAGTATGTGAACCCCTAGACTAATGACATCTCCAAGAGCTAATTGGAGTGAGATGTCAGCCAACTGGAGTCCAGTCAATGAGATGAGATTGGAGGTGTTGGTTACAGCTGCCCTGCCCTATAAAAAACACACACCAGTTCTGGGTTTGCTTTTCACAAGAAGCATTGCCTGATGTGAATGATGCCTCACACAAAAGAGCTCTCAGAAGACCTACGATTAAGAATTGTTGACTTGCATAAAGCTGGAAAGGGTTATAAAAGTATCTCCAAAAGCCTTGCTGTTCATCAGTCCACGGTAAGACAAATTGTCTATAAATGGAGAAAGTTCAACACTGCTGCTACTCTCCCTAGGAGTGGCCATCCTGTAAAGATGACTGCAAGAGCACAGCGCAGACTGCTCAATGAGGTGAAGAAGAATCCTAGAGTGTCAGCTAAAGACTTACAAAAGTCACTGGCAAATGCTAACATCCCTGTTAGCGAATCTACAATACGTAAACACTAAACAAGAATGGATTTCATGGGAGGATACCACAGAGGAAACCACTGCTGTCCAAACAAAACATTGCTGCACCTTTACAGTTTGCACAAGAGCACCTGGATGTTCCACAGCAGTACTGTCAAAATATTCTGTGGACAGATGAAACCAAAGTTGAGTTGTTTGGAAGAAACACACAACACTATGTGTGGTGAAAAAAAAGGCACAGCACACCAACATCAAAACTTCATCTCAACTGTGAAGTATGGTGGTGGGGGCATCATGGTTTGGGGCTGCTTTGCTGCATCAGGGCCTGGACGGATTGCTATCATCGAAGGAAAAATGAATTCCCAAGTTTATCAAGACATTTTGCAGGAGAATTTAAGATTATCTGTCTACCAGCTGAAGCTCAACAGAAGATGGGTGTTGCAACAGGACAATGACCCAAAGCATAGAAGTAAATCAACAACAGAATGGCTTAAACAGAAGAAAATACGCCTTCTGAAGTGGCCCAGTCAGAGTCCTGACCTCAACCCGATTGAGATGCTGTGGCATGACCTCAAGAAAGCGATTCACACCAGACATCCCAAGAATATTGCTGAACTGAAACAGTTCTGTAAAGAGGAATGGTCAAGAATTACTCCTGACCGTTGTGCACGTCTGATCTGCAACTACAGGAAACGTTTGGTTGAAGTTATTGCTGCCAAAGGAGGTTCAACCAGTTATTAAATCCAAGGGTTCACATACTTTTTCCACCTGCACTGTGAATGTTTACATGGTGTGTTCAATAAAAACATGGCAACATTTCATTCTTTGTGTGTTATTAGTTTAAGCAGACTGTGATTGTCTATTGTTGTGACTTAGATGATGATCAGATCACATTTTATGACCAATTTGTGCAGAAATCCATATCATTCCAAAGGGTTCACATACTTTTTCTTGCAACTGTACAAAGGAGATGTGGGAGGGAAATAGACACGCAGATGGGCTTGGGCAAGAGAAAAAGAGACAAGGAGGAGCTGGGGAAGTGGAGAATGAGACATACAAAGGGGCTGAGGAAAAAGAATACGATGGACCAAGTAGTCCACTTTTACTGTAAAGTTCCTAATATCCTCCTCAGGTCAGTTTTATTGTTTTCTTGTTTCAGATTACATCACACATTTAATAGTGGAAATCTTGTTTGTTTAATAGCTGGTGAGGTCAGGAATTGACACCAGGACACAGTAACTGACCATGACCTAAAGTGCAAAAGAGTGCAACTCCTCATCAGAAAGCTCTCTTTTGCAGCTGAAGGTTCCATGTAGCATGCAGCAGGGAAACTTCCATGTACTTTGGTTGCGGAGTTTGGGGAGAATTAGTTGTACCCATACTGTGCTCCATAACAACAAGACACAGAAATTTATTGCTGAGAGAGCTGGTGAAGCAGAGCAGAACAGCTAATCTGCATCTTATTTGCTGTCAAGACAACACTGTGCTTCAGGGATTTCTTTTAATGGCAATGTGGGAATTAGGATTCTACTAGCATTGAGATATATTAGTAAAACATTTAAACCTGCAATGGAACTGTTTAAGCTATTGAATGTTTGCATATAAAATAAAAATCTGATGAAGAACGGAAATTGCACATGCTGTGAAAAACATAAAAACTTGTTTAAAGGAAATATTGCCACAAATTACAGGCAGTTCCCTATATTTATGATGAATATAAAGTTGCTTTATACTCTCCAGGTATAGTCCCCTGGTGTTTTGTCCCATTCTAATTTGACGTTCTCATTATAGTGAGCTGATTATAACCTTTTAGCCCATAATAACACATTTTCCTGAACTGATCTTGGCCAGTTAGGACTACGTTAGTCTATCATTTTGCTAGACGATATGTCATATAAAGTGGTCAGCTCCTAATGACTTCCTAGCAGTAGAGCTCTGCAAAATCCAAGCCAAAATGTATGTACATATATGCTCCATTACTTTAAACATTTAGCACATTAAACAATCAGTGCCTCTCACTTCATATTTTCTGTATTGTTGCACATATACAATAAAAAAAATAGTCAAAAAGAATATATCTCACTTTTGTGTCATGGAGAAATTTGCTGATGCCTGTGTCAGCTTCTAGGTCTTTTAAATTAAATTCAAGTTCTTTGTACAGCTTAATTTCTTTTTCATTTAAAGGTGCTACTGCATCATAAATCCCTGGAATCAAGATGTGACCCTTGACATCTACAAGGGTGTCTAAGGAAGAATAAGAAAACGGTGGTAAGACATACATACATCCATTAGTCTAAACACATTAAACACTTCATCAAGTAATATGAATTGAGTAGTGAATTTTTATGTTCACTAATATCATTTATACATTGTGTTTCATTATATTCTCATTCAATGCTAATAACATTTTAATAAAAAAAAAAAAGAGCGAGAGGTGTTACTGATTATAAAATCTATATATTTGCATTAGCTACATTCCTAGATAAAATAAAAGTGCCTATAGAAATCAAAGCCAGATTAAGATAGCCCAGTGCCCTAGGCAGGATTATGGATTTGGACCCCCTACTAGACCCCTGGGCTCTGTTATGTTTGTGAATGGGACAGCTGATTAGAGTGTGTGTGTGTGTGTGTGTGTGTGTGTGGTGTTGGTGTTAAATGTTGGTGTAATGTACTTACCTGATCCTGACGCCCGCGCTGCTCCACTCGTCAGGCCGCAAAACCGAATGGCTGTGCTGCTCCTCTCCTCATGGACTGAACAGCGGAATACTTACCAATCGGCCCAGTAAACAGGTCCGTTTGCTTTTTCGCACGGGCCGAAATTCTCTTAGCCGTTTTTCTTCCTTGCATAATATTAGGTGCTGCCTGTTTGAATGGCTCATCTTTTATGAATTAAAATGATGTGACGTCATGCCTGCCCTTAAAGTGACCACATCATCCAGGCAACCCCATTATCAATCAGTTTGGAGTGGTAAAGATGACATGGACCAATCAGAAACATTGTTAGCCTTATTCATTGCCCAGATTTCTGTCTTGATTTGTGCTTATAGTAGTCTCTCTTGATATTGTGATATTGACCTTGGCTTGTATTTGCCTTTGTGTATTTCTGGTATCCTGACCCGGATTATTATTTTGTTTATCTGTATTTCTATATTCCTGACCTTGGCTATTATTGGTTGTGTGATTGTGGTGGCTGAGTTTTGTGTGTGGAGGTGAGACTGAGTGTTGTGTATGGGGAAGGATGTGCTGTGTATGCAAGCTGAGTGTAGTGTGCTGGGGAGGAAGTTGTGTGTGTGGAGTGGGTTCTCCCTACCAATTGTCCTTTTCCCCCTTCTGCAGTTAACTTTTAAACAGCCCCTTGCAATTCAGAAGCTCAGTCATTAACAAGTGCTGGGATTGTGAGGGAACCAATAGAAGTACAGTTCACAACACTACTTTGATGCAGTGAAAGGGTGTTAGGGTGAGCAGGGAATTCTTTTGATCTTACTGCTGGTTCAGGGAAGGCCAATATTCAAGGTGTAGACATTGACCCACTGTACCCTGTCTGAGCCCTGGCTTAGGTGTCTGCCTATGTCGCTTCCTGGGTAACCCAGCTTTGAGAGCAATTAGTAAAGCAGTCATTTTTATTTATAAAATAAGTAAATCGGGCTTTGGGTCCCAAATAGGGATAATTCTACTAATATTGAAATGATGCTTGACAAAGACATCGGATGTCAAATGTTACCATGTCTATCTTGTTGGATGTATGTATGTAATGACTATAATATAGTAATTTGGAACATTGTAGGGTGGATTCCCCAAATAGAATCAATACTACTTGCTTCTTCTCATCATGTATACTGGATCATTTTAAAATTCTGTTGCTAGAATTTTTGTAAAAGAACAGTAATTGATGTTTTTATTTAATGAATACAGGAACAAAACACAAGCTCACTCTTCCTTAGTGTTTACTATTGGAACAATAGCCTAACAGGTGGCAATGCCATCAGTAGGGACAGGTACCAATCTGGATTTAGTCCTTTACACTGTGTATTCCCAATGCAAGTAAAGTACATCAGATTTCCCAACAGAGGCAGTTTGTTATTCATGAAAGCAACAGGGGAAAGGGCAAAGTAAAGCAAAGAAATCAAAGAAGAGATGTCAACAAATTATTTCTACTGCTTTTATTTTCCCCAACAGTAATATGTTGATTAAAGACGGATTTAGAGTAATTAAAACATATCACCAAAAATCCACACTGTGTTCGTTTAACTTGCTTTATCTTGAGTGCAATACTTATTCTTATTAACAAATTTCCACTGTGGCGCTTTTGGATTTGCTATTTTTAATTTTAGTAGTTTATGTTCAAATAATAAAAACTATAACAGAACAATTATAATTGTAACCCCCCCCTCTCCCCTCCATACATAAATAATTATTTTAGTTGTGTTTTTCTTATTAAGCTGGTTAATAAATGCCTCTCTAAATGTTCTGCCAACACTAATATTAAAACAAAATGCTGAATGGTACTTTGCAAAATTGGGCAGTGATGTATATTGTGATGTTCTCATAAATAGAGGTCACGTATAACACTTGGCTTTACTTCTTCCTTGAACCTAGGTAGAGAGTACCTACATTATAAGGTGAATTGAGAAAGTAATTTACATTAGTCTCCAAAGGATAGAGGGATAAATGAACGAACAGTGTGTCTCATGGTTATTTGTATTATTACTCGTGTACGCTTTCATTACCAACCAATGTATAAGGCTCATCTGCTCCCTATTGGCATGAATGAGATGAAATATCTCCTCAGATAGAATTTGTTTCTTTTAATTCCAATTGCAGATACATTAAAAACATACTGTTTCTTCTGCATCTGCAATTGTTCAGTATAATCAGGATGCAGCGTGTGACATTGCAAACTAATACAACTGTATATAGCAATGACCTTAGTAATTACTAGCACATCTCTTCTGAGTTACCATATCAAAAATGTATTCACTATCCCCTTGTATTATAGGACAATTAAGGAATTTTATTTTATTCTGAAACAGTGGCTTAATGTGTTTCAGATTGTATGATCACTGAATCGAGATAGTAAAAAAAGGTACTTTAAATGACAACCCCCCCCCAAAAAAACTGCCTCTTTGGAATTTATACTTTTTCAAAAATTGTTCTGTTTAAACAGTTTTTACTTTGGCATGAGTAACCGTAATAAAATGCTTGTTAAAAGAAAGCACCATTACCACTGCAGCTCTGGCACTCTCCTAAAGTAATTTTGCCAAACCATAATAGAAGAATATGGCAACTTACCTGGGTGTCTCAGCTGCTTGCCCTGCATTCCGTCTTGTCTTGTAGGAGAAGCTTGATATCTCACAGACCTAAGCAGGTCTGACACATGACTGCGCTTATGGACAGAGAGCGACTAGCTGGCACTATCCTTGACTTTTTTCATGTGATTGCCCTGAAAATGCTCACTGTATGGGCTTCAAGTGTTTTGCATATTTTATTTTCCACAGTTTTGCAGAGTAATTTTAATTTCTTTTAGATTTACCTAGTGCACTGCTTTTGTAATTACAATCAGATTTTGACATACAGTATTTGTGATCGAATCATTTGAATGTAATAAAATAAATTACCAAGCAAATATATCAAGTCACTCATGGCTTCATAAACTGTTCCTCCAAAGCCACCAGAATGAAGATCTCTCCGTGCGCCTTGCACCTATAAGGAAAAGAGATCAGTTTTAGCCATCATATCGCAAATTTAGTGTATGAATAATTTTAGATCACTGGCATGCCCTCCATCCATGTACATACCTTTTGAGCCGTGCAATTGCACCACTTGACAATGAATAATTCCTAATGTTTGTCATTCAGGGTTTTCCATACAAGTCACATGATGTTAAACATACCTCTAAAATAAAGTAACAGTTTCCTCTTGCTCCATAAGTGATTCCAGGTTTCTTGCTAAGCCAAGGAGTATCTGTGACTACAATGTAGTCTACATTGGAAAGAAAAGTATCCTTTTTATCCTCAACAAGTTTGTCGAGTCCATCGGATCCTACTTCTTCCATTCCTTCAATGATGAACTTCACATTTACTGGAATGCCCTGTCAGTGACAACAGAGTACAATAATACAACTAATTATGAGGCAGGGACATCTTTCTGCTGGGTCAAAATAAGTACTTGTTGATAACTACTTTTAAGTAGGGGCCCATATTGCATTAGTGAGAAAATAGATAGAATGAAGGGGCAAAGTAAATAATATCTGACTCTTTTGCACAAGACTAAAGGGCAGTTACTTATTTCTGAATTGATCACATACTGGTTTATGCACCAAAAAAACATATTATGTGGAATGTACAACCTCATTGCTTAATATAGAATGTTGGAAATGTCCTTAACTTCTTTGGGTTAAAATGTAATTACATTTACCAGAGTACATAGTTTTTGTTTCAGGTTACTAAGTGTTTTTTACGTACAATTGTGTTAACTGCTTCCACAGCATGCAATAATGCCAGAATTTGTCCTTTATCATCGGAGGTACCTCTGCCATACAGATTACCTTCATAACAATAGAAAACACAAACGAGATCAGTTAAACATTATCCAGTTTTTAGAAGAAGCCTAAATTTCACTTTTTTATGGTACTACCCCAACATGCAAGCAAGAGGCAACTACTACTTAAATAGATACAGCACATATTACCGGACCATAGAGTAGGATAATCGACTACACAAAGCCAAGGTCAGGGATTCTCGAGAAATAAAATTGTCAAACAACAGAGCCAAGTCAAAATCAGAAAATACACTGAATACTATAACGCACTCTCAGGCTACTTAGATCACGACAGGGCAAGAAAGTGAGGTTATAGAAGCATTCAAATTGGCTCAAGTCTGTAATGATTAATTGGGGAACCATTGGAATGATTAATAATAATTGGATAAACGTGTGTAGAAACTAACGTTTTGACTTTAAATATGGTAGAATCAAGCGTTCCGCGTCATAGATTCCTCCTACATCAACGTGCCAACCCTCTAATACATGAGCATTCCGCATCAGCCGAATGCTTGGGCATGGCAGCTCAAGATTCATTGTCGGTCAAATGAAAAGGGGTGGCTTGTGTAGGTGCAGTGTCGGCGAAGAATGGGGAGCTGTGTGGCAACAGCAAGGACCAAGTAGAGTTATTTTATAGAGTTTGAAAACAAGCGATTCATATACAGACTCCAGGTACCATGACCACTTCAAATCACTTAAGTAGTCATGTTGCGTGGAGTAACCCTTTAAAGGGACTTTCTAGGCAGTTTAACTACTTTATGTAATTGACATACTTATAGTGCCTGGAGTCCTATGGCCTCATTCCTCCATTCATTGTTTTTCCTAATGGTTTAATGCTAAATGAAGCAATGGGCAATAATGACTGGATGAGAGTGTCAACTGACTTAACTGAATAGGAATTGGTATATCTAAAGAAGAGTGTAATCTTTGCCTTAGCGATACCGCTAGTTGTGGCTGGGCTATGGATGGCCAGAAATCCTTATTTAGCGTTAAACCATTTGAAAGTGGTTTAACACTGAAAGTAGGGCTGCGATAGAGAATTCCAGGCACAATAACAACTTCAGTGAGGAGAAATGGTTATAGATGCCCAGAGACTGCCTTTAAATTATAATGATACATGGATGTTGTTCTAACAAAATATGCAGTGCAGAAATTTCAATTACAGTAGTGCTCAAAAGTTTGCATACCCTGGCAGAAATTGTGAAATTTTGCATTGATTTTGAAAAAATATGACTGATAATGCAAAAAAAAAATATTTTATTGAAGGATAGTGATCATATGAAGCCATTTTTTATCACATAATTGTTTGGCTCCTTTTTAAAATCATAATGATAACAGAAATCACCCAAATGGCCCTGATCGAAAGTTTACATACCATTGAATGTTTGGCCTTGTTACAAACACACAAGGTGATACTCACAGGTTAAACTGACAATAAAGATTAATTTCCCACACCTGTGGCCTTTTAAATTGCAATTATTGTCTGTGTATAAATTGTCAATGAGTTTGTTAGCTCTCACATGGATGCACTGAGAAGGCTAGCTACTGAGCCATAGGGAGCAGAAAAGAACTGTCAAAAGACCTGCATGGGGGCGGGGCCTGACTGTAATGGCGGCTGGATGCATTTTCAGAGTGCTCCAGGCAAATCAGTGAAACTAAGCCGCTTACCCGTAGTCCCGGTGCTCTCTCTAAGACAGCCTGCGAAGCTTGAACGTCAGGTGAAAGGTGACTGGCTTTGAACGGTTAACAGCAGCCGTCCAGACTAAGCCCTCAACGGGCTGGACTGAGGCCTAGCAAGCATAGTGGAAGGGAGAGGCGGCCGCTCTCCCAGCCAAGCTCAGGCGGACCTACATCCAAATCTTGATGGTGCCCTGCTACCCCCCCCTATGGACCGGCGGGGGAGATCCCGGTCCCCACCCTGGAGGCTCACTCACTTTACTGGGGCTGTGCGAACCTGACTCAGACGGCAATGATGCCACACATGGTAGACCTAATATGGCGGATTCCGAAGACCCCACGCCTGGCTATGGAGGTTTGATGTCCAGAACGCTGTCCTTCCTGGACAAACTTCTTTCTGACTTTTGGGGGATGCTGTCCCTCCGACAACCGGTACCCGACCTACAAACCTCGCAGAATCACCCACCAAAACCCGGTCTCCGGCAGCCTCAAACTTGGCGTGGCACAAAGACAGTGCGAAAATGGCGGAGAAGACCAGGTCGGCGGAGCATGGAAGGCGGGAAGCGCAGGCCTGCATCGGCAAGGGGTGCCTATAGAGCCGGCAGCTGGAAAATCAAGCAGGATAAACCAGGGAGAGGAGAGCAGGGGATATCGAAGAAGAAACCATATAACATGGACTCTGTATCGATTTTGTCTGGGTCAATATGCCTCCTAATCCACCCCATTACCTGGTATTGTACCCTGCCCATGTCGGGCATAGGCTGAGTGCATAGAGGGTCATCTAACTCACACTCACATCACACACAGCCAGGAGAAATCATCCCTTCTTCACCTAATTGTATGCTAAGATTGACATTTCTGCTGAACGTGTACTTTATCTGCTGTCTGGGCCAGTTGTCCCAAATATCTTCACACTAGCACATGCTACTAAATTTCACTCAGGGTGGCATACCTCGCTTGTACTACTCTTACAGTAAACCTCACAGTATTTACCTACTACCTGTGCATACTCTGCAATAGCAATGCTTCAATCTCTAGTGCTAAATGTATGCTATTATGCTCTGTCTAATCTCGTACCTTACCTTTCCTTTTAAGCAGAATAGAAAAATTCCTTGACAAGCAACATTAATATATAAAAAATGTGCAGTAACCGCTAATGCCTCACTCATGTAATACCATGTTAACAAAAATGCTTACCCTAGCTGTTGTGGCATTGTAAGCCTGATGTGATTGTTATATGCACAAATAAAATAAAGAATTAAAAAAAAGACCTGCATAACAAGGTAATGGAACTTTATAAAGACAGTAAAGGATTTAAAAAGATATCCAAGGCCTTGAAAATGCCAGTCAGTACTGTTCAATCACTTATTAAGAAGTGGAAAATGTGTGGATCTCTTGAGCCAAGGTCAGGCAGATTTTTGTCACAACTGAAAGAAGAATTGTTTGGGATGAAAAGAAAGACCCACAGGTAACCTCCGGAGAAATACAGGCTGCTCTTGAAAGACACGGTGTGGTTGTTTCAAGGAGCACAATGTGACAATATTTCAACAATAGCCCCAATGCCACAAAAAAGCCCAGTTACAATATGCCCTACAACACCTTAATACTCCTCACAGCTTCTGGCACACTGTAATTTGGAGTGACGTGACCAAAATAGAGCTTTATAGTCACAACCATAAGCGCTATATTTGGAGAAGGGTCAACAAGGCCTATAGTGAAAAGAATACCATCCTCACTGTGAAGCATGGAGGTGGCTCACTAATGTTTTTGGGGGGTGTGAAATCTAAAGGCACGAGGAATCTAATGAAAATTGATGGCAAGATGAAGCATGTTGTCAGAAAATGCTGGCAGACAATTTGCATTTTTTCTGCAGGAAGGCTGCGATGGGACGCTTTTGGACATTCCAGCATGACAATGACCCTGAGCACAAGGCCAAGTTGACCCCCCAGTGGTTACAGCAGAAAAAGGTGAAGGTTCTGGAGTGGCCATCACAGTCTCATGACCTCTATATCATTGAGCCACTCTGGCGAGATCTCAAATGTGCGGTTCATGTAAGACAACCAAAGACATTGCATGACCTGAAGGTATTTTGCCAAGACTAGTGGGCAGCTATGCCATCTGCAAGAATTAGGGGCCTCATGGACAACTGATGCAAAAGACTGTACGCTGTTGTTAATGCTAAAGGGGGAAATACACAGTACTTAGAACTAAGGGCATGCAGACTTTGGAAAATGTGTCGTTTTTTTTTTTTTATTTGTTGCCATGTTTTGTTTTATGATTGTGCCATTCTGTTAAAACTTACAGTTGAATATGAAGCCCATAAGAAATAAAAGAAATGTGTTTTACCTGCTCACTCATGCTTTCTTTATAAATTGTACAATTATTACCAATTCTCCAAGGGTATGCAAACTTTTGAGCACCACTGTATCCCCAGTTATATTCACTCTCTGAAAAATGCCATTAGCTATTCTCCAAAAATTTCATGGAACTGAAAAACTGGAATATAAATCTGGCCTCTATGGGGGGCGTGACCGAGCCGTCAATGAGACTGGACGTGTTTCGGTAGAGCTCCGCAGCAACTGTGCCTAAAGCATTCAAAAGCGACCTCAAAAATCGTCTAACTACCCCTCACGGGAACCTCCGACATGGAGAAGAGACCCCCTAAGAAGCAGGGGGAAAAAACGGCCGACATTGGGACCTCCAGCTCCGTCCTAGACCACTTCCCCATACACAAACAAGGCCGTGCAGGAAGTCAAGATGGCGACGGGAGCTCCCCACAAATATCACCGAAGGCGACCAGGGATGCCCCACTCCATGACCAAGATACCGTTTTGGCCAAACTCGCTGAAGTCAGGGCCTTCTTGGCAGGAGAAATAGCCAACTCAACGGCAATTCTCCAAGCAGAGATAGGGGCCCTGGGAAAACGCACGGCCATCTTGGAAGAGCGCATGGAGACCACAACGCTAGCCCACAATGCGCTTATAGATCGAGTAAACCGTATGACCTCACATCTGGTGGAAACCGACCTAACATTAGAAGATATGGCCAACCGGTCACGGAGAAATAACCTCCGCATTCGGGGCCTCCCTGAGGAGAAAGACGAGGATTTAAAGGGGATACTACTCTCTGCCCTGAAGCCTCTCCTACCCGCCTTATCGGAGGAACAGTGGCACATGGAAAGAGCACATAGAGCCCTGAGACCACAGAAGATCGACACCAACACCCCGCGGGACGTAATCGTCCGCTTCCTATACTACAGCACGAGGGAAGCGCTGATGGGGAAAAGCCGGGATGCACCGTTACGGTACGCAGGGGCCACATTATCCTTATACCAGGATCTGGCACCGTCGACACTTCAACGACGACGAGAGTGGAGGCCTATCACAGCAGCCCTACGAGACGCAGGTCTGAAATATGCCTGGGGATTCCCCTTCAAGCTTATGGTGTTCCGGGGAGACCGCTCACACATCCTGATGCCGGGAGGGGATCCCCAACGCTTCTTTAGGAACCTCGGCCTACAACCACCCCCCCGACTTCCAGATATCTCTCTGCACCCTACCGAGCTCCAACAACTACAGACAGAGTGGCAAGAAGTCGGAGCTAGAGGCCATCGCTGAAGCACTGTGGGTATCGTATAATCACACATCACACAACACCATCCACCACCTTCTACCCCACCTCATATTCCACGGAGACTGTTCAGTTTAAATTAGTTCTCCCCCCGCTGTGATGAGAGCCGACACTAACCCCCTTTTATCGTACTCTGACTGGAACTCTAAAGGGAGTCACATCGAAACCTGCCCTGGCTAGTCCCCCTTTCAGCCAATCCTCCATTCTTGTTTTAACTGTAGGTTCAATATTATGTTACTTTATGATACATGCCAGTGTCCTACTTTAAATTGTCGAGGAGGCTAATACGGGAATGGGTCTGACCCCCTCACGACTTGCTTTGGGAGGGCTGTGGGGGGTACCGCAATAGGCTTCAAGCAGCCCTTTGCAGGACTCAACCTGACAGCTGATCCCACAGGCTGTGGGGGCCCCCGGGACTTTTTACCAAGGTGGAGGCTTCATTGACACCCAGGCCTGATGGGAACCGGATCCGCCTAATTTTTTTGGCGTGTAGGCCTGCATCACTCTACATCATCTCGTTATTATTTCTCTGAACCACAGTAATATTGCATATCCCTTGATATCCTGAACGATGTTAATATTCACGATCCTCTTCCTGCTGTACGGGGGGGAAAGGGGAAAAAAAGGGAGAAGGAAGAAAAAAAAAAAGGGGGAGGGAGGGGGGAAAGGAGAGTTCTTGATGTTTTATACAGATGTAATGTTATGCTGGGGTACATTAGATAGATAGAAGTGAAAATCGTTTCGGTTACCTATACTTTACCCAAGTTATAACCACCCCAGACTCTTACCCATGTCGGGTACCATTCTTTAGTCCTATCTAAAACCCTACCGCTGTAATGATCTCATCGATCTCCCCCCCCCTCCCCGTCCCGTGGTTTTCCTCGGAGATCCTTCTCCCGCGACACCATGCTCCCTCTATACAGTGGCAGGCTCCCAACATCTATCACCCCTGATACTACATATATATAGCAGAGAAAGAGGGGGGACCATACTCTTACAAAATTTCACACATACACCCAAAAGAAAAAGGAAAAGAGGAGGGGAAGAAAAAAGGAAAAAAAAAAAATAAATAAAAAAATAAAAATAAAAATAAAAAAAACAATAAATATATAATTAATTATTTTCTAGGACCACTAAGACGCTGAATCTGTCTTCGATCCCCTCTGAGCCTGTCCTCCTAACCACCTACCAGGCGACCCTCCCTACATGGGAAGTACCCCCGATAGGAACCAGGACAAATCGGTTATACCCTCACATGCATGACCATACTGACACTACCAACCCGTGATCCCACGAACACCAACATCACACAATAGACGCATAGGATTGTAACGGTCAGGGTAGCACTTCCTGTATATATATATCCTCACACCTAACCACTTGGAAGAAAAAAGGGGGGTGGTCGGATAAACACCTTGGGAAGAAACACTGGACAATTACAACGCGACCTCATGGACTGAACGCCTGAGAGAAAGCGTAGGAACTGGAGAGTCCCGCCTTGAGAGGGAGGGGATACGGGGCGGGGGGAGGGGGATCAGGGACGGAAAGAACCCTGCTGATCGCGCCCCCCAAACACCCACACATCAATAACCAGGAAAGACTGATAGAGGGGTCCCGATAGGACAAACCCCTAGTCATATACTACCTCAGATAAGAGAAATAAGAGGTCAACTTAAATTGTGTAGGCACAAGCGTGACGGAACCCACATATCCCTAATCCCTTCTTACGTTGACCGTGGACGGGATGAAGGAACATGCTCCCAGAAAAACCCTGGCAAAGAGTAAGACCAGAGTTTCTACATCTATACATCTGACTCGATTCGGATGTCTTTCTTCTTCTTCTTCTTTACTATCCTCTCTTTTCTTTCCTATTTATGTGTGGTGCGACCTGGAGGAGCGGTGGAGGCGGAGGGGTGCCCGGGGAGGCGCAAGACATGACACTGAGCCAGACGTGGAAGAACCCGGGTCCCCGAACGGCTATAAAAGACCTAACCAAACACGTCGCGATTATTAAAATCACGTCATTGAATGTTAAAGGAATTAATGCTCCTAAGAAACGCCGCCTTATGTTTAAGGAACTAAAGAGACTGAAGACGGATATTGCCTACATCCAGGAAACCCACCTATCGAAACAAGCCAATGTAAACCTAAAAGACCACATCTTTCGAGGATCATTTGAAGCAAGATCACAATGCAAACGCAACGGAGTAGCTATTCTGATCAGAAACAGCTGCCCTTTTCGCAAGACGACCCATGAAACAGACCCAGACGGCCGATACATTATAGTATCGGGCATCTTGTACTCACATACCATACACCTGGTCAACGTGTATGCCCCTAACCAACCAGACCCCTCGTTCTGGACCACCCTCCGAGAGAAAATCTCCTTACTTCCACATGGCATGGTCTATATGGGAGGAGACTTCAACGCCACCCCATGTCCGGCAGCGGACAGGAGCACTAAAGACGGAACACCGAGATCCCATGGCAGGGGGGGACAAGACCGACTGCTCAAAAAATTTATACTAGACGTGGGCTTAACAGATGTATGGCGAGCGCACCACCCAGGAGACAGGGACTACTCCTTCTACTCAACACCTCATGGCACATACTCCAGGATAGACTTATTCCTAACTAACGCGACAGGCATGCCCAGGATTACAGGTTCGGCGATTGGCAATATATCATGGTCTGACCATGCGGACGTGTCCATTACACTGGGAAACTTATGTTTGGCCTCGCCGTGGACGTGGAGACTAAACACATCCCTACTGAGAGACCCGGAACTCAAAGAACAGATACGGACTGAAATAGTGGAATACTTCACCACAAATAATACCCCAGATGTTAGCGCAGGGTCAATATGGGCGGCCCATAAAGCTGTTATAAGAGGGACCCTTATAAAACTAGCCACTAGGAAGAAGAAGATGAAACATAAACAACTGGAGACCCTGTTGGATCAATTAAGAAATCTTGAACAGAAACATCAAGCAACACCCGACAATGAGATCTATAAGAAACTGGTAGCGGTTCGGAGAGACATCCGCACACTCCTACTGGACGATACCGCTCAATCCATGATCTGGACGAAACGGACTTATTACGAGAAATCCAATAAGACGGACTCACTTCTGGCCCGAACACTGCGACCTAGACAAGAACGATCCCACATCACGGCCATCAAACATCCGGATGGAACGACGAAATCAAGACCAGACGAGATAGCCAAAGTCTTTGAAGACTTTTACAAAAAACTGTACAACCACACACCAGACGCACACACTCCTGACGGAAGTGAAGAAGACCATATTAACAGCTACTTAAATAACCTCGACCTGCCCAAACTAGGGAGAGACGCGGTGGCCAATTTGTCAGCCGAAATTACAGAGGAAGAAGTACATAGAGCCATATCTACCTTGAAAGGTAACAAAGCTCCAGGCCCGGATGGGTTCGAAGGTACATACTACAAAACCTTCAAAGAAGAACTTACACCCCAACTAATGAAACTCTTTGACTACATGAAACAGGGGGGACTCCTCCCTCCAGACATGACCCTAGCTACCATAGTATTGATCCCTAAACCTGACAAAGACACACTCCAACCAGGAAACTACAGACCCATATCATTGATTAATCAAGATCTAAAAATAATAGCAAAAATACAAGCTGACAGGTTAAATCCGCTACTAAACTCACTCGTCCATGCCGACCAAGTAGGCTTTATTCAGGGCAGACAGCTGTTTGAGAATACCAGAAGGAATATTGACCTAATCTGGAAACAAGTGACATCTAAAATCCCTACCCTAGTGGTTTCTATAGATGCAGAAAAGGCCTTTGATAGGGTGAGATGGCAATTCCTCTTTGCGGTACTAAACCACCTAGGGTTCCCGAAAGAATTTATAACTACTACAAAAGCAATGTATCATGAGGTGAGAGCACAGATACAGATCACTGGTGCCCCGATGACGCCTTTTCGACTCTACAATGGCACTAGGCAGGGGTGCCCACTCTCCCCACTCCTGTTTGTACTAGCGCTAGAGCCTTTGATGCAAGCGATTAGACAACATCCAGACATTGAAGGAGTTCGAGTAGGGGACAAAAAGTTTACAGTCTCAGCATACGCAGACGACGTTCTTTTGACCATCACGAACCCATCGACGTCTGTGTCGGCCCTCCAAGATGTTATCAAGGACTACGGGGAATGGTCTGGCTATAAGGCCAACATGCAAAAATCTAGTGCTATGCCGATTGGCATGACTGAGACAGACATAAATCACATACAACTGACCTACCGTATCAGGATGGAAAGAGAGTCTATGAAATACCTGGGTATACACCTAACTACTGACCCGACACACCTCTACTCCGAGAACTATGACCCCCTAATTAGGAAGTTGATAGGAGACTTAGAAAGGTGGTCTGATAAACCTATCTCCTGGATAGGACGAATTAACTCTATTAAAATGAACGTCCTCCCGAGGATTCTATTCTTATTCCAAGCTCTCCCAATTCATGTCACCAAAGCACAACTGAACCCACTTCAACGGTCGATAGCTGACTTCATATGGCAGAACAAGAGGCACAGGATATCAAAACAGATACTCTACAGACGAAAAGAAAGAGGGGGACTGGGCCTCCCAAATCTATACTTCTATTATCTTGCAGCCCAACTAACACAGATAGCTATGTGGCATTCCCCTCCGGAAGAGCGGAGATGGGTCGAAATAGAATCCATGATGGTGGGATGGGACATCCCCCAGTTCACTATGTGGATCCCGAAAGACTATCGACCCCTGATACGAGTGACTTGCCCGTCCATACTTAATTCGCTCCAAATCTGGGACAAAAACAGAACCAAGTACGGACTAGCGACCTCCCCCTCTCCATTGACTCCAATTCTAAGAAATAGAGAGTTCCAACCCGGTATGGCCCCTAAAGATTTCCGAAACTTGGAGAGAACGGGTCTACAACGGATCCATCAATTATATCATAATGGGAACTTAATCCAATTTACGGACCTCCAACAAGATAACCATCTGACTCCCGCAGATTTCTTTAGATATATACAAATTCGAGACTTCGCTAGGAAACCACACATAAAGGCTGCAGCTCAGGGAATTATGACGTTCTATGAGAAACTATGCCTTCACGAAAGGACCCCCAAGGGCATGATAACCCTAATGCACGCCCACCTTAGCACAGAAACCAAAGAATGGGGGAGACTATCTTACACCGACCAATGGGAGATAGAACTAGGAGAAGAACTAGAAGGCATAGAATGGCAAGAAATTTGGGAAGCAAATAAAAACGCCTCCATATGCGTTACGCTACAAGAACAAACATGGAAGACCATGTTTAGGTGGTACACAGCCCCAGTAAAACTTTATAAAATGCATAAAACGGATACCGATGATTGCTGGAGGGGATGTGGAGCCCGAGGTACATACCTTCACATGTGGTGGGAATGCCCCAAACTTCTTGGATTCTGGAAAGAGACAGAAAACCTACTGAAACAAACATTTAATAAACCCCTGACCAGAGATCCATGGGTATACCTCCTAAACAGATCAGTGGACGGATGGACCAAGAGAGAACAGAAACTAGTCCATAAAATAACCCTGAGCGCAAGGAAAACAATAGCGACGAGATGGCTTTCACCAGACTCACCCGAGTTTCCGACAGTGATATCCAGGATCCGCGAATGTAGGATCATGGACGACTTAACAGCGAGAGTAAAGGGGTCGACAGAAACATTTCTAAAACTCTGGGAACCATGGGATAACAGTGTAATAGGTTCTAGAGAGGACAGATAGGAACAAACGAAAGATGTAAAGGGGTCCTTGCAGTAGAGCTAAACCAGTGGCAGAACCCTCCTACACAGAGATCCAACCGACACACCTGGCCTAGCGAGATCGGGATGAACCTGCTGCCCCCCCCCCCGCCGCCTTCTTCACGTACCTCCCTAGCCACCTCTAGGTCACTGCAGCCACCACACAATCCTCCCTTACCTTATACCACTTTCTCAGTCTCCCCTTCTTTCTTTTTTCTTAATTCTTCTCTTTTCTTTCCCCGCGCCTATACGGGGAAAATCCATTTCATATCCGCTACTTATTTTGCATACCAACCTCCTCAGACAAGGTCAACGTAACGAACGTAAAGGGAACCCTAGGTACCCCAGATAAACCTCGAATCAATAACCCTATACGTATATCAAAAGACCTACAAACATCAAACTACGGACTAGATAATAACAATATAGCTATATTGATAACGACACAGGACTTACACGATATATAAAACATCATATAGCCCAACGGTAGACCTCAAATTACCGCTGGGCCAGGGACGTCTCTCTCCCACACCTAAGTATCCTAGACAAACCGATAAACTATACTGGGGAATTACACTATTAAAAATCCTTTAAAGAGGATAACCCCCATGGATCCTTTAAATACGAACACATACTGTAAAGGTTGAAGTTCATGTGACTGTTAAGAGGTTACCCATACTTTGGCTTCTGCGTAAGCCCAATCGTTGATACTTGGTCATTATAGATGCAGATATTAAGTTCAATGTAGCAATTGCTAACAATGTGTGAAATGGAAGGTTAAATCTACTTGCTTTCTTGAGTTTACTTTTGTTTATTAAAAAAAAAAATACAAAAATCCTTGACGGACAGAGACGATGATAGCAATAATGTATAGAAGGCTTAGTTACAGGATGTCTTATTTGAAATGAAGTACATGTACATGACGTACTCTATGGCTTCTGCGAAAGCCTGTAAATTAAAGTTGTATCATTTTGTCCGCCAAGATGGAAAAATAAAGAATAAAAAAAAAAAAAAAAAAAAATCTGGCCTCTATGCAGATGATGACTTTCCTAAAACCGATCCTGAAATACTCTTAAAAGCATCATTAGGGTTACTCCAGCCACCTTTTTGAAATGGTCATGATTTTAGGAGTCTGGATATGTAGCTTGAAACACTACACTTCCAGAGATAAAATATAGAAACCGCACCACTATTCTACATTTTCAATGATGTTGCATTTTTTTTTTTACAAGGGACATAAATCAAAAAACTAAATACCCTTAGTTCACAGGAAAAGAAAACATTCAGCCTTGGTGGCCTGGTTTAGAGCAAGTACTTACTTTCTTTACCTGCTGCAGTCATTAGTAGCTCTTCTTTATTGTCTATTTTTTTTTTAAATCTATGCACATCAGGCTATCATTTCATCATATTGCAGCCATTCTCTGATTCAGAGAGTACAATAACAATAACTTGCAAACACTTCTAAGGTTTGTGTCACGTAAACAGACAAAATGCTCTTTTTTCCATCGCACAATTCTGTTTCGGTGGGGGTTTTGTGATTTCCCAAACACTTGAAATGCTCACATGAGTCAGTGCCAATGGCAGATGTCTTATTCACAGGGTGACCAGACGTCCCGGTTTTACCAATAGTCCCGGTTTCTGGCGATATTTCCCGCGTCCCGAGAAAGTTTCTGTTAAAACTGGGATGTCTGGTCACCCTCTCCCTCACTGGCAGTTTGCCACTGCAGAGGGAAGAAGGGAGCCAGGACAATGGGAGGCAGAACGATCCTCCCATGAGCAGGCAGGTCGGAGCATTGTCACACGTTGCCATGGCAATGCTTCGATACAGCCTCATACTCGCGGGAAGAGCTGCAGGCTGAACTGCATGCACCACCACTCGACCACCAGGGATTGAAAAGTAGTTATCCCGCCTCTCCCCGATTAAAGGTGTCCCCCTACACACACAGCACCACCCACACACACACACAGCACCCCCACAAACTGAACTCCTACACACACAGTACATTCCACACACTGAACCGCTACCTCCCCAACACACAGCACCCCCACACACTAAACTCGTACACACACTACAACTCATTCATGTGTCAGTAGTGGTCTCTGTTTTTGTTTATCTTTTAATTATGTTTCAATTTCAGTGATTCCTCAAGTTTTACTTTAGGCTCAATCGCCAGATGCTGTTGGAAGCTGGCAATATCCCAGAGGTTGAGCTAGGTACGTACAATTTAAATAGAAAAGAAAACACAAATATAGATGCACTACCAGCAAAAGATAAATGTGTAAAACGTTCACATGACTGGTGTTTGAAGATGCTAAGATACTTATAGACTGTGTGCGTCCATCTGTACAGTTTTCTGTAATATGGATCTTGCAGTACAACAATAGCTGTATGGCCAACGCTTATAGACTTACCATCTTTCTCTACAACAGTGTATGGCTCTGTTAACCACCCATCTTCTTTCTTTGCAGATTGAACATCTACGTGTCCATAAAAACAGACAGTAGGTTTGTTTGGGTCATTCCCAATCTCTGCAAGAATAACTGGAGGCAAAATGATTTTCTTCCCTGACGGATGCTAAAATAAATATATGGAAATATAAATTTGGAATAATCATATATTTATCTTTTAAAACCAGACCTTTGATGTGTTAAAACTGACATAGTATCCAAGAACATCCAACTATTTATTGTTGCATAAATATGAATACAAAAGAGTGTGAGAACCCTTTCCATAAGGCATATTACACCGGGGTTTTTTGGGGGGGGGGGCGGGGGTAGGGTGTGGGGAGTTTCTTATATGAGGAAGGATATTTATCATTCAAAAGCATCTGGCTCATGTGCTACCAATTGGACAACTATAGTCTAAGAGGTCCATATTAAAATACCATAAAAGAAAATCAGAACGTGTTGTAATATGGCTCTTGCCCCAGACAAGTTACTAAAATGATATATATTTCTGATTTCATTGCCTATTTCAAATAGTTCACAGTTTTACTCCATTGAGGAGGTTGGCTTAAAAAACAAACAAACAAACACAAATTTATATACAATATGTCAAACCTCTTGCTCTCCAAGTTCAACCATCTCGACCTTTCCACCAAGCTTGACAATGAAGTCCTTAGTGAGCTGCATCATATGGTTAACCAAGTCTCTTTTTTCTGGATCACTAGAGTCACTTTCTACGGCCACCCAGTCCTTCAATCGCTACATAAGATGCAACAATGTTGTAATTATCAAAAATATTTTCAATTGACCATGTCCCTGCAATAGTTTTCTGGTAATATTTCCCTATTTTAAAACTCTTACCTGTTACTGCATCAGATGTATGATAGATATGTATGAACCTACCTATTCCTGCATTGCTCTTTATTATTCTCATGCCTAATCACATTTAAAAAAAAAGATTTCAAGAGAGAAAAATACAAATTCTGCCATTTACTGTCATTGCGGACCTGGTTCAAGATATTCATTAGCATTCTTGAGCAATGAAATAGGAAATTAATGTGCAAGAACAAATAGGCATATTATTCCTGTAGGATGCATGCAAGGGAGATAGCACTGTGAAGAGCCTTACATGAGAAAGTGTTATCCCACATTGTCCAAGTGTTATATCTCAATATCAGTGTGAAAATAGACAAGAGTTTAGAAGTTCTTCGACTAAAAAAAGGCAGCATATCAATAGTTCTAAAAATGTAAATATGAAATAAATGTAATAGATAATGTTAATTGCCATGTATTGGGGACTTAAATACTACCTATAGGCCCATTTGTAAGGTGATCGGGCTGTTATATCCTTCATTTTAAATAGATCTGTTCGGTACGGCATTGTTTTCTAGTAATGCCATATGTACAGTATATGGTACTAGAGACAATAAATATCCACCTGTAAATGCTAACTGCTAATGTTTAGGTAAAGTTGGAATGGATGGAGGGTTAGGGTTGGGTAGCCTTTTTAGGGTTGGGTTAGCATTAGAAGGATTTAGGTTAGTGGTTAGGGGGGTATAGGGTTGAGTGTAATCAAAGTTTGGGAGTCTTTGCATGTCCTCCACTTCTAACCCCACCCCACCCCACCCCAACTTCTGTGCCTGTCCAATCACACACTTTTCAATGCCGCGCAATAAGAAGTCTTTACAAGGCAGATGCCCTGAACAATTGCTGCCTATTGAGTCTAGCTCAACTGAGCTAACCAAACCAGGAAGTAACAGAAAAATTAAAAAAATATATAACTGACTCATTAACCCCTTAAGGACACATGACGTGTGACATGTCATGATTCCCCTTTATTCCAGAAGTTTGGTCCTTAAGGGGTTAAACATACAGCTTTTCACCAAGCTAAAAAGTGTTAGGGGTCTGGAGCGTTCCCGCTAAGCTAAATTTTTTTGGCTGCTTATAGTGTCCCTTTAATTTTTGAATATTGGTTCACAAATGCACTTGTACTAACTGTCTCTTTGTTTACATTTTTATGGATTGTAATTATGTTTCAAAAGCAGCTGAAGAATCAATATTATCTATTCTTGGTCTATAGAAGACGCCAGACATCTCTACATCTCTGAGCTGAGCAATTTTTTTAAATAAGTGCATTGAGTCAGTTAATTGGACATATCTTGAATTTACATAATGTTGCTGCGCAAGAGTATCATAAATAGATAGATACATACACTGGATTGTAAAAGAAAAGTAAGGGCTGCGCCAAAGTCCTATAGCAATAAATAATCCAATATAAAAAAGTCCAAATATAAGTGAAAGAGTCTAAATGGTATGATCTTACTCAGATCAGATAAAGTGCTTGATTGAGAGTAATATCCTCACTGTCTTTATCCGGGCAGACCCACTCATATGAAAGACAAGAAATAAGAGGAACCAAATAGTGTAATATGTACAGCCCAATATATTCGTAATGTGGAAGAGATGGTAATAAACACACATTTGTTAGAGCTATAGCTAGCTCTAGTTTGAAAGACGCACAATGGTACAATTCCCGCTTATGAGATATGCAGTATGCTTCTTCCGTCAGGGGTATGTTCAACACTCAGGAGAAGAGTAAAAAGAGACAACTAATAGTGCTCACAGAATAAAACAGCAGTAGTAAAATAAATAAAATAGTACTCACAAGCGAAGAGCAGGCTAACTGCTCTTTAAAGACAGCATTGGTGGTTTGATCACCACCTAGGATTTCTTGGAGTATGTTGTAGTCAACGGAGTATATTTGAACCAAGGTCTAGTTACCAGTGGGGTACCTCAGGGATCTGTACTTGGACCCATTCTCTTTAATATTTTTATTAGTGATATTGCAGAAGGTCTTGATGGTAAGGTATGTCTTTTTGCTGATGATACTAATATTTGCAACAGGTTTGATGTACCAGGATGGATCAGCTGTGGCAACTGACATTTAATTTGGATAAGTGCAAGATAATTCACCTTGCATGTAAAAACCCAAGGGCAGAGTACAGAATATTTGATACCCTACTAACCTCAACATCTGAGGCAGGGGATTTAGGAGTAATTATTTCAGATGACTTAAAGGTAGGAAGACAATGTAATAGAGCAGCTGGAAATGCTAGCAGAATGCTTGGTTGAATAGGGAGAGGTATTAGCAGTAGAAAGAGAGAAGTGCTCATGCCATTGCACAGAACACTGGTGAGACCTCACTTGGAGTATTGTATGCAGTACTGGAGACCATATCTTAGGAAGGATATTGATACTTTAGAGAGAGTTCAGAGAAGGGCTACTAAACTGGTTCATGGATTGCAGGATAAAACTTACAAGAAAAGGTTAAAGGAACTTAACATGTATAGCTTGGAGGAAAGACAAGAGAGGGGGGATATGAGAGAAACATTTAAATACATAAAGGGAATCAACACAGTAAAGGAGGAGACTATATTTAAAAGAAGAAAAACTACCACAACAAGAGGACATAGTCTTAAATTACAGGGGCAAAGGTTTAAAAATAATTTCAGGAAGTATTACTTTACTGAGAGGATGGTGGATGCATGGAATAGCCTTCCAGCTGAAGTGGTAGAGGTTAACACAGTGAGGCAGTTCAAGCATGCGTGGGATAGGCATATCCTAGGCTTAAGATAAGGCCAGGGACTAATTAAAAGTATTTTGAAATATTGGGAAGACTAGATGGGCCGAATGGTTCTTATCTGCCGTCACATTCTATGTTTCTATAATATGGCCAATAGTTAGATATTGGCAGCACGCTTCTAGCGTGCCTTTGTCATTCCCGGTTATTTCCACTCCCTTATTCCCGATTATACTTTCCAAGCGGCTTAGCAGCCGTCACATATAGCGTGCATATGCATTTTGATCGACTGACCTTGGTTTGGGTGTTAATGCTAATCATTTCTATCCCTATTTAAACCCATACTGTCAGGTATTATGTTTTATTCCATTTTGAAGAGGCCCTGAAGGCGAAATGCATTGTAGAATTTTATATTGTGTATTTTAGCTTATTAAAGATTTTTGGGTCACTCTACCTGTGCCAATCATCTTTTAATACAATTTCTACTGATTTTATTTTTACCTGACATTTTAAACATCGTGTCCTTTAAGAAATCTTAGGTGGGGATCATACCACCAACGCTGTCATCAAAGAGTAGTTAGTCTGCTCTTTGCTTATGAGTACTATTTTATTCATCTTACTACTGCTGTTTTATTCTGTGAGCACTATTAGTTATCTCTTTTTACCCTTCTCCTGAGTATTGAACATACCCCTGACGGAAGAAGCATACTGCATATCCCATAAGCAGGGATTGTACTGCTGTACGCCCTTCAAAATAGAGCTAGCTATAGCTCTAACAAATGTGTGTTTATTATCATCTCTTCCACATTACGAATATATTGGGCTGTACATATTACACTATTTGGTTTCTCTTATTTCTTGTCTTTCATATGTGTGGATCTGCCCGGATAAAGACAGTGAGGATATTACTCTCGATCAAGCACTTTATCTGATCTGAGTAAGATCATACCATTTAGACTCTTTCACTTATATTTGGACTTTTTTATATTAGATTATTTATTGCTATAGGACTTTGGCGCAGCCCTTACTTTTCCTTTATCACTTTTTCTGTATTTTAAAAGGGTTTTGAGGGATTCTCCCTTTTTAGGGTTGATCCCCATTTGTTAATTACTGCTTACTCTCTTCTTTTGTTATACACTGGATTATATATGTAGACAACACTCACACTAAAGTATTGTTGAGTAATCCAATGAATTTGTGTAAAATGAGAACAATTTGTACCTGAACATATTCATCCTGGTGATCATTAATGTATTGAAATATTCCATTTTGTGGCACAGGAGATAGCACAACTTGGCACATTAGCCATGAAAGGATGGATAACACGAAGAGCTAAAAAAAATAAAAAAATAAGTTAGCTGTCAAGATGAACGTTCAATGATCAAGGTTTGCCATTCTGTTCAGATAACTTGATTTGACAGTAGAAAAAACATTATAAGACTTACGTTCAATAAAATAAGCATATTGGGAATATACTAACCATATAGTGCTACAGACAATAAAGGTAAACATATACAATATCACAATATCAAAATAACAATATCTATACAAAGCTACCTGCCCAGTTTCATAATTCCTCATGCAGTTGTATTGTATTATCCAACATGTCAGAAGTGTATTTTGAAATATGAGCAGTATGTAATAATTTATATCAGTCTTATAAGATACTTATCACACTTTAGTTGAACCTCTTATATTAAATTGAAATGTGGATTCACTAATCAGGATGCAAAATTTCAAGTCCTACACTACCTGACAGATCTAAAGATTACTTGCCACTGTAAGCCTGGAGTGTTTACGCAGGACACTCACCAAAGGAGAATTTCTACTCGCAACAGCTGAATTGTTACTTGCTAATGGCTAGTGAGCAAGTGAAACTTTTTATCCCTACACTAATCACTAGTTTTATACATATTGCGAGGTATGACTTGATATTGGCTTGAGAACTTGCACATTATGACCATTCAATGTACTTAAAAACAAAACTGTGTACAGTGGTGTTTGGAATTGTAACAATGTTTTATAAATGTTTTAAATGTTGTATGAAATAGTCTATGCCAGGTGTCAGCAACCTATGGCACGTGTGCCATGCATTGCACTCGAGGTGCCTTTGCATGTCATTCAAGGCTGCCAGAGACAAACAGTCTCTGACCTATCAGGAGTTCTGGTGGGACTTCATATATCTGCTAGTGCAAACAGAGCGGTGATTGCAGGTGGTGAGGGACAATCCTCGATTTACGCATTGCACCACTTAGAGGCAGTGATCCCAGATCACTTCTACCCAGCACTTGTGAATGGGTATCCACACTGGAGTAGAGTAATGTGCAGCAGCTATTGCCCTTGACCTGGCCAGCCCAGTCCCAACAAACACACAATGTGCCATATCATCCACACACACAGTTCTACAAGCAGCCTCCATACACAAGTATCATACACAATACCACAAACTACTCATGAAGATATACAATATAACAGCCCACAACTGCACATACAACACTACAAAACAACTGCAATTCTCATAAATAACACAAGCAGCAATGTACTGTTTTCCCTTGGTAGCTCCATATATTGTTTCTGTTGCAAACTGAGTGGGAGATTACATTTTGGAAAAAGTCATTGATCCTTAAAGGTTTACTACAAGAACCATGACCACTTCAGTGATTTGACATACATAGTTTTATGGTTGGAGTACAGGGTTATTTCAAAGTGAATGTCAAATTTAAGGTCAAAATAGAAAACAATTCTCTAACTAAGCTCTTCTAATTTGGCTACTCTGACCTTGATTTTAAAATTAACTTTGAAATCTCACTTAAAGGACCACTCTAGGCACCCAGACCACTTCAGCTTAATGAAGTGGCCGGGTGCCAGGTCCTTCTAGGGTTAACCCATTTTTTCATAAACATAGCAGTTTCAGAGAAACTGCTATGTTTGTGAATGGGTTAAGCCTTCCCCTATTTCCTCTAGTGGCTGTCTCATTGACAGCCACTAGAGGCGCTTGCGTGCTTCTCACTGTGATTTTCACAGTGAGAGCACGCCAGCGTCCATAGGAAAGCATTATGAATGCTTTCCTATGTGACCGGCTGAATGCGCGCACAGCTCTTGCCGCGCGTGCGCATTCAGCCGACGGGGAGGAGAAGAGGAGGATCGGAGGAGGAGAGCTCTCCGCCCAGCGCTGGAAAAAGGTAAGTCTTAACCCCTTTCCCCTTTCCAGAGCCAGGTGGGAGGGGGTCCCTGAGGGTGGGGGCACCCTCAGGGCACTATAGTGCCAGGAAAATGAGTATGTTTTCCTGGCACTATAGTGGTCCTTTAAGTAAATGTCCTTGTAGTTAATTAAAGTCAGGAGAACAAACTCACTAGATGAGAATGCATCTTTGTCAGTAGATAGAATTGCAATCACTTTTTCATTATGATGACCTGACATGTGGTCCTTAGGGATGTGGTTTGTCACGTGCTGATTTACTTACTGTAAAAAACTGTATTGGAATGTTGCGGTATATTGTTATTATTGTTATTATTGTGCTGCATCTAGTTTCTGGATATGGGGAGTATTTAAAGGACCACTCTAGGCACCCAGACCACTTCAGCTTAATGAAGTGGTCTGGGTGCCAGGTCCGTCTAGGGTTAACCCATTTTTTTTATAAACATGTTTATCAATGGGTTAAGCCTTCCTCCAAATCCTCTAGTGGCTGTCTCATTGACATCCGCTAGAGGCGCTTGCGTGCTTCTCACTGTGAAAATCACAGTGAAAGCACGCCAGCGTCCATAGGAAAGCATTATGAATGCTTTCCTATGCGACCGGCTGAATGTGCGCGCAGCTCTTGCCGCGCGTGCGCATTCAGCCGACGGGGCGGATCGAAAGAGGAGAGGAGGCAGAGAGCTCCCCGCCCAGCCCTGGAAAAAGGTAAGTTTTTTCCCCTTTTCCCCCTTCCAGAGTATGTTTTCCTGGCACTATAGTGGTCCTTTAAGACTTGGAAAATGAGAGTCAATATACACACAAAATATTATGTGGGATCTGGTCTGCTTAATGCAATCCACAGAGATGAGGGAGTCCGACTTAAAATGAATTGCTCAAGACTGAACTGAGCCAGGGATACACCCCAAACCTGTCTAGAAATATAAAAGACAGTTATACCTTTAAGGCAGTGTGTTCAAGAGCTGATTCACTTAAAAATGGCTTATTTAGTAGAATTGAATCTAATAATTTGGTCAAAAATCTGGAACAGTGGATGATAATTAAAATAAAATGTATGGTGTGTATACCTTTAAATCTGCTAAAGGCAGATTCTGCGTGTTGCACACCAAATGATCTGCTTATTAGGAAGCCACTATAATTTACAGAGTGACAACATAAAAAATAGTCATCTGTTTAATGGTGTTGTACACACAAATATATAAGAAATAGTGTATTAAACCTAGAATTGTCTGGTCTGTTATCAGACAATTCTAGGTTTAATACACTATTTCTTATATAATTGTGTGTACAACACCATTAAACAGATGACTATTTTTTATGTTGTCACTCTGTAAATAATAGTGGCTTCCTAATAAGCAGATCATTTGGTGTGCAACACGCAGAATCTGCCTTTAGCAGATTTAAAGGTATACACACCATACATTTTATTTTAATTATCATCCACTGTTCCAGATTTTTGACCAAATTATTACATTCAATTCTACTAAATAAGCCATTTTTAAGTGAATTAGCTCCTGAACACACTGCCTTAAAGGTATAACTATCTTTTACAAAATATTATGTACTAGCGATCATCCAGATATGGCAAGCAACATATTGTGTAAGAAAAAGAATGAAAAAATATAAGAATATATATTTAAGAGTGAGCTTATTAAATTAGATAGCATAGAAAACAAACTCTTTATAGGTACTATGGTTGCTACAGACTGTGAAACTCTTTCCCTGCATGGTGTCAAATCATCCTGAATAACCAATTGCAGTTCCACCTATCATCCTGCCCCTCTTTTCCTTGACTGATTGGATAAAACTAATCAAGCAGTTAGGATTCCCTAACTGAAAGCTGATAGAAAAACATTGGAGAAATCAAGGAGAAGAGAATAGACTATTGCCAACAGGAAAAAAACAGCAGTAATAACTGTATGTGGGTTTGTGGGATATGTCAGTATCATATAGGACAGTGGTTTTAGTTTGTGCTGTTGAACATTGGTGTGTATCGAGCCACCTGAAAGTATGTCACAAACAAATTGTTCGGGGGATGTAGTAGGCTGAACCAATTTAAGATTCAATTTGGGATTCCCATCTGGCAATTAATAGATACTAAAAAGTAAATTTAGACAGCCACTAGAGGTACTTCCAGGATTCTCGGGGAATCTAAGTGCCTTAAATGATGCTGGACATCCTCAAGCTCAGCAAGCTACAACGTCTGAGAAATCCCCCCACTGAGGCAGTGCTTTCCTATGAGTAAGGCCTTACGTGCTCGCCGCGCATGTGCATTAGGTACCCACATTGGATAACGTCGGAGGAGGCGGAGTGCCAAACCAGTTCTACGAGACATCAGAGCTGGAATCGGTGAATTTTTTTTTAACCCTTTATCTTATGAAGGGGAGGGGGATCAGAGGGCACTATAGTGTTAGGATATAGATATGTATTCCCAACACTATAGAATCCCTGTAAGGCAACGAAAGCATGATGGTTACACTTGATCAATTTTGCATTTTATGGTCCATGAGCAAAAAGTGGATACAACATATTTACATTTATAAGTTGGAGTGTGCCCTTAAAGGTGTTTTTTTTTTTTTTCCCTCACAAAGCCCCACCTGTTCTCAGTGTACCCCAAAAGAGGATGAAAAATAAAATGTGGGCATTGATACCACAGTGAGGTAATACAATTAAAAACACAATCCAGGTTATGTATCCTAAAGTAGGAGAAAATCCATCACAGTCTGTGTACTAGCACAATATGTAATTTGTAACTGGTGACCTTGGACTGGTTGACCAGACAATTATTTAACTGTATTAGCTTTGTGACATGTTTGTCATGGCAAGTACAGTAGATCCTCTGGATAACATTTGAACTTTTATATTTGTTTATTTAACAGCCATTGTATTGCATACACTTGCACATCTCTTGGAATATTTGTCAAAGCCTTTTGTGAAAGCTATGATAAACATAAGTACTTGCCTAGATTAGATATATCTGTTTAGTTATAATACAAAGTAATAGTTGAAGTGCTGAGTATGCACATTGCCATGCATTGGAGTTACTGCATTTACCTCCTAGCACTCCTAGAAAGGAGTGGTCTGCATGGAATGGGATATACACACTATAATTATATTTATATATTGATTTATACAATCTAGTTGCATCTTGTAGCAGTTATCAACAAACGCATAGAAAGTGTCACTAGAAATCAGAACAGTATATTTTAATTAACTTCTTCTGTAAACGTTAACTTAGAACATAGATTTTGCCATTTGAACATCAACAATGTAATTGTATATCATATAAATTGTTACCACCTCACTTATCACAATCCCTCTAATAACCAGCCATTAGAGGTGTGCAAATTATAAAAATGTGACAAAATGTTAATAAGTACATTTAAGAACAATAAATACTTTTTATTAGGAAGTTGTTTACTACATAGTGAATTGAAATTGAAACAAGTGGTATTGCAGACTCCAGTTGCTGTGAAAACCTGGCTTTGTGTGATGGGAGTTGCAATGAACATAAAATGGTGTGGATAATGCTGCCGATCCCTACAAATTACTAACTTTGCAATGCTATGATATACAACTGGGATAAGCCCCTGGATACCAGCCTTGGAAAACAGTACATTTTAACTGCTTCAGAACCAGAGATAGTCACATCACTTGTTATATTGATTCTGGAGTGGTTAATCTTAATTCTAGTTTAAAATAAAAACCAGACATGTATTAAACCGCTAAACAAACATATATTAAGTATTTATTTTCAATGTAAATCTTACCATTTTGCTGGATTAATATATTCAGTTGAAAGTCTGGTTGCTCTCTGGATTTAAGCCTGGTATATGCCAGTTTTATAGAATTTTCTCAGACCATGCCTATTTTCAATAGTTCCCTCCCACTGAGGTTTAATGAATCACAGTGCTTGGTTACAATCTCTGCAAAGTAAATACGTTTTTTTTTCATATACTAAATTCACAGTCCTTGTGTATTTTACTCAAAGGGACACTATAGGCACCCAGACCAGCTAATCTCAATGAAGTGGTCTGGGCCATGTTGCCCCCTGTTTTAACCCTGCAGTTGAAAAAAGTTGCTGTTCTACAAAACAGCAATATTTTTACTGCAATACCTCTAGTGCCACTTAGACAGCCAGGGCAGGCGCGTCCGTTGAATTAACAAAGTTAAACTTTGCAAATTTCTGTCAGATGGTTTCATAGAGACAATATGATTGGAGCAGTGTGGCAATTTACTGCACATATGCGCTATCTTCCCAATAGTTTCTGTTTTCTTCACAATTGATCCACGCTTTTCACTTGAACCTGAACCTTCAAGAACATTTGCTGGAGAGAAAAAAACTTACTGTGGTTACAGGGACCCTCTTTAGTAATAAATAGATGTATAGCCATTGGCTATAAACTAGTCGTTAAATCTCTGAAGACATACTGACTGCTAAAGGCGCACACATGGAGAGAGTATAGAACACAAACTATGTATAGTCATGCTTTCTTTTCTTTTTCATTATAAACAAAATGATTAATTTTGTGTTTTTCCATACAGGCATACCCCAATTTTGGAAGAAATTAATATATGACACACTGTAAATGTGCCTTGAAAAGGTGTGTCAGTATAAATTTAATGCATGCCATTGTCAATATGACAAGCTGCCCGGCCTGGACACGTGCAGGACACTGTGAGTGTGTGTTGGTTTGTGTAGAGGTAAGGTATCACTGATCAGCTGGTTTATTCTTTAAATGAGGTAGGCAGAGCCCAAAATGTGTAAGAAGTTACTGTTCTCCTCCTGTCTCTGGGACATCTCAGAGGTACCTATTTTTTTGTAAGAATTGAATAAATGCAACATGATTCTGAACAGATTTTTTTTTAAACCTTGAATGTTACAGAGTTGTCTAGGTTAAAAATTGTACTAAAGTCCATCAAGTTCGACCTTGAAACCCATTATTTTATGTTGTTGACCCAGGAGAAGGTAAAAAAAAAAACCTCCATATACAATTATGTCACAAAAAGTGGAAAATAATTCTTCTTGACGTTTGAATACAAATCAAGTATATAACTAAATATTCTGTTTATTCAAAAAAAGCATCCAAGTCTTTTTTTTAAATATCTATAAAATCTGTGATCTCTATAATGAGGACCTTGTAATTGTTCCACATGTTACCCCCCCCCCTTTTTCTTTTTTCCTTCTGTACCCCCAATGTCGAAATTGTTATGTTCTTCTGAAAAAACAATAAAAAACAGATATTGAAAAAAACAAAATCTATAAAATCTGATAATACTACCTCTTCATAGCTTGACTCTGCACTTTTTTTTAGTTTTGCAATATCCCTCTTTAAAATACATGCCCAAAATTGCACCACATATTCATGGTGGGGTCTTACCATTGATTTATAAAGAGGAAAAATTATATTTTGAATCAATTCCCCTTTTAATACAAGAAAACACCTTATTAGCTTTCGCAACAGCAGACCGGCATTGCATACTGTTGCCTAGTTTACGGTCTATAATTGTTCCCAAATTATTTTCATTTAATGTTATCTCTAACTCAAGCCGATTTGATGTATAGGTGGCTTGTGGGTTCCTCATTCTAAAATGACTTTACATTTATCTGTATTGAAACGCATCTGCCACTTACCTGCCCAGTCCCCCAATTTATCCCAAATCCCTCTGCAGTGGTTAAATCATGTGCAGACTGTATTATCTTACTTAGTTTTGTGTCATCTGCAAAAACTGACAAATGACTTTCAATTCCTACTTCGGGCTTACTTATGAACAGATTAAACAGAAGTGGACCCAGGACAGACCCCTGAGGCACTACATTCACCACTTTTGTCCAACTTGAAAATTTTCCATTTACAACTACGCTCTGCACTCTATCTTTAAGCCAGTGTTCTACCCAAGAACAACATTTTTCATCTAAACCAAATGTGAGTTTATCTAACTGCTCATATAATGATTCTTCTGCTTCCACATTATGTACCTTCTTCCAGAACTTGTTTTGTAGGGCTGCAAGGTACAGGTGTATATCTCTCCCTATTGTTGAATAGTGTATGCCTGGTAGGTGAGCTACAGGCTGCTACTCTGTCTGTTAGAAGGATCTGCCCTTGTGTTTTGCTGCCTTCCTAGAATGAGAATGCCTGCAGGTTCTTGTGAAGTAAATCCAACATTGCCTAGGAATCCACTAACATCGACCCACAGTAACATTTTTGAATGGTTTCATGCTTACCTGTGTCTATCACGTGCTTACAGTCCTTCAGGTCCTTTAGATCTTCAGTGATATTTCAAAAGAGGAAGTTTGTCATCCCTATTTCCACTTAAATTATTGATTGTGAGTATCAGCTAAGGGACCCAGGTAAGTGTCAATGTTTTTTAAACCTTACTTTGTGAGATGCCAGTTAATTGCTCACCTCATAACCACCATGGTGTGATCGATTGTTTATGGCACTTACAATGCCTTTTTTCAATTTTCAGTTTTAGAAATTGAAAACACATATGTGTCTATTGACTAACTGGGTTTTTCACTAAATATGACATCGACTTATTATTTTTGGATGAGCTTGCCACATGATTTTAAATTTTCGCATAAGCTTTTAAAAATATTTTTTTAAAATATTAAAATGTAAAAAAATCTATCATGCATAAACAAAAATATCAAAACTATGCATCTCAACTAGTGCATCTCAATATTTTAAATAATTTGAGAAGCATATCCAAAAATATTAAATCAAGCCCTATGTCACTGCCTGGAGCCCTAAATCTCTCCCAACTCCCTTATTAGAGTTTTGGGTATATTTCCCTGGTCTTTGTCAGGAGTATTGAAACACACAAACAATGCCAGTTTGTTTGGAATTCAGCTGCAATTTAGTTGTCTGTTGGCAACTACTGAATCAGCCGTGTCATCGGCAGATTCTTCTGATTTCGATAGACAGCCCAGCTGTAGCTGAATATAAGTTTGAATTTGGTTGAAATAACTGAATTTGTCTTTTGTGAATAGCCAAACTGGTTAAAATAGCTGGTTCAGATTCAGTGGCAAATTGGTATTTATTGAATAGACTGTCTAGAATGAAGTAAATACTGCTATTCTGAAATATTACTTGTCAGCAATTCAAAGTGATTTAAAAGTTAAGGCCAAAGTAACTGAACTGGAAGCATTAGCTGACATCGAGAATTTATTCAGTACAACTACTTTGGCCTTAACGTGGCACTGTCTCCATCTGGGGACTTTTGTCAAATTCGCAGACACCTGATGGAATCCAGTGGCCAGGGGGTGCACATAAGGTGAGATTTACTTACCTGAACCTGTCCCTTGCGGGTGCCTTCTTCTTCTTTGGTCTGCTCCTGTTCAGCTCCTGGCGCAAATGCGTGAGAGTGCAGCATTGAGGTCTATGGAGGATCCCGCAAGATCACGGAATCCTCCATAGACACAGCTGCGGGGAATGACACTTAGACTCTGCCGTGAGTTAAGAGTCAAGTCAGTCGAGCCTTGCAAAGTTTACCCAGACAGATGATTGTACTGCAAAACAACACAGGAATTTGAGGCAACATTACAGGACCAAACATTGCCACCCAGAATGTTATCATAATTCAATAATAATGCCCCTGTGTATTGCTAAAACAAATTCAAAAGTAGGCACACACCTTCCATGACCCTCCAAGCTGCAGATGTAAAGTTAGAGAAGTTGTGGCGCCCAGAGTGAGAAGTTGATTTCCACCTTCTTCATCCCTCAAAGAACTGAAAGCTTTTCTTTGTGAAGAATGGTACAGTATCACACTACACACAGCTCACAGCCTGGACTCAAACTATTCTGAAACTAAGGTTGGTATAGTCCTTATTGGGCAGTTGATTTAAATGCTATGACAGATTTTTCTCCCTCTATTTTGTCTACGCTCTATATCAGGTGTAGATAACGTTTGGCGCTCCAGATGTCGTGGACTACATCACCCTTGATGCTTTGCTAGCATTACAGCTGTAAGAGCATTATCAGAGAGTGTGGAAGGTTGCCTACCTGTGCCCTATATGATAGGATACTTAGGAAGAGGAAAATCTTGCAAATACACCATACAAGTGTTAGGCAATTATATAATAACAATTGTTTTAGAATCATTTAGCAATATCATTTAGTATTCATCTATAAGAATCTTAGCACCATTTCATAGACCATACATGTCTGCCATGTGGAACTCTACATTGCAAACTGGCATGATTTTTTTTTGTATCAAGAACTGCTTCAAAAACTCCAAAAAGTTACCGTGCTTATTTGTAAATCATTGTTATCCCCACAGGAGTGTCCTCATGGCCTTCCCAGTGATATAAAACACAAGGTTTTTTTTGTTTGCTATAATGCAATTTGATTAACTTGTACTAGTTTAAACATAGTGCGACACAATCTAAATGCTACAAACAAATAGATGATAATGCAAGAGTAGTAATATTTACATTTCTCAATCACTATCCTAAGCTACAAATATGCAAAGCTGTTCAAGGCTATTTGGAAATCTGTTTCATTAGGAGAAAGATATGATGTTACTAGGGGCAGTGTGCATGACAAAACTGTGTGAATTAAAATAATACATATAAGGATTTATTGTAAAGCGCTACGGAATCTGTTGGCGCTATATAAATGGCAATAATAATAATAATAATAATTGTGGCGATTGAACATCCAGTTGCAATTTTTAGTTCCAAATGACTGCACTGGGAAAGTAAATAGAGATAGTCTACATGTTAATGTTTATTTAAATAGTTGTAAATACCTCACTGCCAACACACATATAAATGAGTTTGATTTCCTTTTGCTTCACATTGCAGTGCAAAATATAATTAAATGTATAAGCGTTTTGTTTTTTTTGCTTATACTAATTTTGCACATCCAGTGCAACTAAAGAAAGAATACTCAAAAT